TCTTTAAGTGTATAAGCTTGGATTTTTAAAGCAGTTTACTACAAATTACATTATTTCAAGAACCAAGGATTCAAAAATGCTCTGTTCAAAATCTTTCTTTCGAAGCTACATTTCACATAACGAAATGAAAGCCTTATTTTTAATTTTTCTGATGAAACCACTGGAAAAAGGGTGGTTAGGAATTTTCAGTATATGATATTTATCAATAAAAACTGAGTCCTTAACTTCCAAACATTCAAACTTCCTGTCAAATAATAAGCTCATCACCAATAGATGGTAGCACAATCGCATTTTAAAGCTCGGCCATCGTCTTGGATACCGCCATATGTTTCAAACAATGGTTTCTTAAGAAACAGAGGAAAGAAATAAGGAACGAAAATAATTTAACTTTTCCATTCAAATAAAATTCCTTCATAGAAAGGTAAGTCAAAATTCAAGACTAATTTGTAAAGCTAGTTGCATTTATTTCAGTATAAATTATTTCTTCATATTTTTAGAACTTAAATTTCAAAGAAACAAAGCTAAAACAATAAAAAAATTGTTTTTATGCAACCACTATTAGCAAATTTTGAAAACAATATTTTTGAAAACAAAATTATTTGACTGCTATCTTGTTAAAAATTAAGAAAACTGCAGACTGTTTCATAAAAACTTAAAATATTATATCGAAAGTATCGAGACTAGATCTTTCAGCAAAGCATTATTCAAAGCTCACTAAGCTTAGAGATATTCACTTGTTCACCTATTCTGTTGTAATATTGGATAATATACGTACATTTCCACTTTTTCATAATGAAACATGGCCTAATGATGTGTTTGCGCAAATGGGATATTTTAGAAGTTTACCTAAGTATCAACAGTATGCGACAGTTAAGTTTTATTGGCAATGAAAATGAAACTTCGGGGATTTTACCGTACTTAAGTAGTTATGTTTCAATGTACTTAAGTATCCAATAAAATACTACTATAGTATATATTTACGAAAGTACTCTTACCGTATAAACTATATCCTAGAGCAGTAATTATCATTCTACTTGGATTGACGACACACTTGAATGATCACCTGCGCCCTTAAAACCTAATGACTTAAATTTTAAGTGATTATTATTAATATCATTATAATGCTAAAACTTGCTTATTAATCCATGCTGTGTCCCATCAGTTTCTAAAGGCGTAGTTGCCAAACCAATCTACAAGCTCATCTTAGAAATGCACCAAACTATTTCTCTATTTTTATTCCATTATTTTTATCAAAGAAAATATTGTAAAGCAAGCTTATTGTATACAAACGTAACAATGAAACATAGAGAAAATTTTAAAATTTACTTTTGAATCTAAATATTTTCCTACACATCTCTTGGGACTTCATGATATATCGATAGGGTAATGCTTTAATATGATACAACTATATACCAAGTTTGTTAAACCAATTAGCACGCCATTATCAATTAGAATATCATCAATAGAAATTTATCTGCAATCACAATGATGCTAGCAAACTAAAAATTATTCATTTGTAATTTAGTGTACAAATATCTACCAGAATAACATTATACCTTGTTACACCCGTAGCATCTAGAGTAGAGAATTATTATATTCTATGATACTACAAATAATATACTTTAAAGAAAAAGCATAAAACGTTTCGATTTATTTTTTTCTCATTTACGTGGAAACCAGATAGAATTTAAAAGCACTTCATTTGTATCCCATGTGTTATTTTCACTTTACAAGTTAAGCATTTCTTCAAATGACTTAAGAACTTGTAAAAATTCTATGAAACATGTACCTTATATTATTTTTACTGAAAGATGTCATGGCGACAAAGATGACTGTTTCCAGATTCTTTATATCTTAGAAGAAACTGTAATAAACTAGAGCGCATCTTCTTTACATTTTCAGTGTTTTTGTAAAGTGTTTGAGTTGCATTAAGCAATTTTACATATACTTTACAAGCAATTTACTAATATAGTAATTCAAATTTCGCCATAATTTTAAATATCGCATGGGTAAAGAAATATGTTTTTCCAAAAATTTAAAACATTTCATTGCAGCTGCAAACTGCTGACGTTTAATGTCGCATTAACTAGTTCGAAGATGAAGCAAGATTATTTCTTATTCTTGAGGATAGTTTACGAGCGTTATGTCGGATTTTTCATTTACCAAAAAATTATTATTCTAGAATTAAAGGTCTATTTCATCTGATATTCTTCAAAACTCCCACATCTAATAACTTCCCTGGCTATTGTTTAGAGCTTGCTTTAAAAGTGTTTTTTCCTTATCTGGAAAGAATAAACCAAAGTTTCCGAAAAACTGAAAATCTCATATTAATTTGTCTCACTTTTCAATAAAGTTATTTACAATAAAACGTTCTCCAGTAAACGCATACAGGTAAAGAAATTCAGCGGAAAGTACAGAAAAAAAAATCACCAGCGGATTAAAAATGCATTGAAAAGAAAAGAAGTACTCGTTTGATTTTCATTCAATCATTTCATTTTTATTAATCATAACCTGTTTTACATTTTATTGTAAAGTAATTCTTAAAATTACATTTCAGAGCGTTAAAACATGATTAACATGAAACTGAGCACTTTCTACGTGTTAATTAGGTACTTAAGGTAGGTTACCTAAGGTAAGGTAATTAGGTAAGTTACTTAAGTTCGAAAAGCAAGAAATGCTATGGGATTTATACTGCCAAAATATTTTCAATTAATTGGCGTCGATTGCTTTAACAAAGCCTCAGTTCATTCCTAAAAACAAACTAGTGTTTTCTTTTTTAAAATAGCCTCTTATTCTAAGATGGCAATCTCCTTCACTCTTTCTAAATGTGGATATTAACACCTTTCAGTGAAAGAAGTAGAAACGTTTAAGAAGGAATCATCATGAAATTAAGGGAATAGCTAGTACTGATATTGGAAAGTATCAATTTAAGCTGCATTGGTGGGCACAGTGGTCAGAGCTTCCCAACATATCTACATACGTAGTGTACCTGAAGGACTAGCAAGATGTTCCTTGATATTTCCCAATATGAGTTCTTACTTTATTCAATATTTGGCTTCTTAGAACTGTTTTCAGATTTGTGAAGAATAAAAAATAAAAACTTTAAAAAAAAATACAATAATCTGAAAGCTTACAGATTTTATATTACGCCCAAAGGGGCGTTTTTTAACATTTTGTGTTTTACCTTTATTTATTAAATATCATGTTCTTCGCACTTAAACCATAATATTCAAGTCAACAACAGTATCACAAATCATTTAAAAGAGCATATCTTTAGAGACACAGTCTCGCGCGCTTTAGACCGTACAGTGTTCCCATTGCTCGCTTTGAAATCGATCAGTTTCTTAATCAAAAACTCATAAAGCTTTAAAAAATATGAAATAGATAATAAAACAAATTTCAAACTCTAAATTTGGGCTTCCAAATGCCCATATTCGGATGGAGACTTCCGTTATTCAAAATTTGATGGCTTTAGGTACCGTTGTTTTATCACAATGCGAGAAACCTACATACTTTTCCGAAGATTCTTCATAAATGCATGTATAAATATTGAATTCATTATTTGATTTCTTTAAATATAATACAAGACGTTAATATTTAGTGGCAACAATTTAAAAAAAGTAATTCGCCGTTTATAGTGAATCAATGCAAAATTCCAAAATGAAATTAATAGCTTTTCCGGGCAAATTGCCCTTTTGGGCTAATGCACATGGTCACGTGTACGTCACATATGATGCGCAAAATTAATGAAATGAAAATTATTTTTTAATGTCACGTTTGCGTCATATGAAAAGTGCTGACATTATGTGGAAATCATAACAGAAAACTCGTCCATCGGAAATGCCACTTCGTTATAAATAGATTAGTAATTCTGAAGACCTTAAAGCTTGCGATAAAGTCCTTAAGAAACGAGAAGGTCCATCATTTATATACCGAATATTTGAAAAAATGTTTCTACAAGCTTTGTTTCCATAAATACCTATCCTAGATACGTATTTTCAATTACAAAATTTCTCTTTTGCAATTGCAAAGAAGAAGAAAATAAAAGAATTTTATAAGAACAGTTCCAATTCTGAAAACAGAAATGTTGTACAAATGCAAAATGTAATTTTTCTATGATCTCCATAGGAAACAAAATTCAATTATTAAAAAATTCACTTTTCTACACAAGTAAATCTGTGTACTTTTGCTTAAAACTTAGGAAGAAGCTGCAAAACAAAATTTTGCATTTTGTCGATTAGTTGTATCATAATAGGAATATCAACGCTCGTTATTAACTTCAGAAATATCCTCTTGAGACAGCAATTAGAAAAAGAAACTTTTGGGTGTTAATTATTAAAGTGAATGACGAACGGTTTATTAGTTAGACACCTCGATTACGGGGAGCATACAAAGATATGTAGTTTTTATTTTATTCTCAAAATTGAAATATAGCATGTTTTCATAAAATTCGCTACCTTATTTTGAGAAACTTTATAGTTCGAAGCATGTGCTTAAGATAAAAATTAAGAAACCAAGTGTGCCACCTTTTTTTAGCACACAAATACAAATTTGACTTATGTAGTTTATTAAATACTATTTTTATTTCAGTGACATCAGTATAAATTCATCTCACATCATACAGAAATAGCTCTTGCGTAACTAAGTATAACCTAGATAGCTATTATATTTAGTTTTTGCTGATATGTGAATTTCATTCCAAAAAATAACATTACAAAATAGGTATAGAAAAATCAATTAAAATTTGGAATAATATTCTGTGGCACGCAGTGCATTAAGAAGCTCATTTCTTCATATGGAGATAATGCAGGCTGACACTTAAGCATGTATTTTTGAACCTACAAGAGCAGGAAAAATGCAAGTAAGTAAAGGAAATTCTTTCTTTACTTTCAGACAAAAATGCTTTCCCCACATGAGTTTTTTTTTAACTGTAAAAATTAATAATGCTTTGCAGTCATAAACACTGACACTTCACATCTATCTTTTCAATTTCCAGATAAATGGGTAATGCTGAGAGTAACGTAACTTCTGGAGTGAAGAAACAGACTGATAGTGGATCTCTCAAGATCTATTCACTTGTGAATCTGAAAGGTGGTGGTGAATTGATCACCCTTATGAAAGAAGTCTCAAAAGCAAGAGACCATAGCACAGTAAAAATATGCTTATATTATAGTTACAATTACATGATTTACGCTGAACTGGTACAAAAATTGCTTTACATAGCATAAGTATTTATAACTTTTATGTGTACCCTTGTAAATATTTATTATTCATAAAATATGAAAAATAAGGAATGCTGAAATAGTAAAACATTGATAAATTTATTTAAAACATTTGAACTAATTGCTTTTAATTTATAATTAAGCGTAAATGTGTTATCTTAACATCAAAACAGAAGTATAAGCATATATAAACTAAAGCGCGAACTATCACTTCCATGACAGTAGGTCTGCAATTACATATATGACAGTAATAACTTGAAATGCAAAAATTTCACAAGTCGATTAGATAAAAAACAGCTTCGTAGCAAAACGAAAGAAACTTTGTTATTATTATATAGCATGACAAATTAAATGAATGTGCTAATACTAAATATTGCAAAACAATATCATAAAGAGTCTCTTTCACATTAATTTACCATCAAATCAAGCCTTTACTCAAGTATTCGCTAGGGATGATACTAATTAAAGCAAATTCAGAATTACAATAGAATAAATAAAATTTTTATAACCATTCTTGACTGCATTTCAGATTAGAATTAATTCAACGTGCAGGAAAGCAGAAAAAATTAACCTTAAAAACCGATTTTTACTAGCAGAAATAAAGTTTAATAATTTCAAAGTTATTTAAATGAAGATTATGACTGAAACAAGAAAGTGATTAATACCTGTAAATTCTACTTAAAGTCGTTTCGACAGTTTTGACTTTACATTTTACTTCGGCCTAGCCTTGCAAGTAGAAGAATTTTATTTAAAGGTGGCTTAAAGTTAAATTAAATTTAAATTTCAGTTGCAATTGAAGTAACAAATTTAAAACATATAGGAGACGAAGACTATTCTTCTGAAATTATAGATCAACTTATATCATCCAGCAGATAATTGAAGTCAAACAGCGATACTAGACATATCCCAGACAGCGAGAGAAAATAGCAGGACTAAGACAAAACCTAAGGTAAGATAAAATTATGGGATATTAGAACTTTATCCTACACCGGTGTGCAAAAATTAAGGACGAGACGGTTTTTTCAATATAACTTTGTACAAAAGGTTTCCAAATCAACACATTTAATACCGTAAGATCCCCAATACGTAAGGACATGAGTAATGTAAGCAACACTTACTAAAAGAGAAGTCAGAGGGATAAAAAGAAGCTTTATTGAAAAAGTAGCATTTAGCGCAATGCGACTGAAGGCCGAAACATCCCTGTGATGGGTGTCCAGCAAGAAACATCCGGTCTTTAATAGGGGATATGATCTCCCCTGACTGCTAGGCAGATTTCACAGCGTCTGCCCATGCTGAGAATGAGGGTGTCAATGAGTTGTTGAGGCACTGCTGCCCATTCATCTTGCAGCGCCAATCGAAGCTCTGGAATCGTTACTGGTGGTAAGGTACGAGCTGCCAAGCGTCTGCCTAGAAAATCCCATACATGCTCGGTGGGATTGAGGTCCGAAGATCGTGCCAATCCATACGTTCAATATCCTCACTCTCTAAGAGCTGTTCGGCAGCTACTGTGCGATGACATGGTGCATTGTCGTCCATGAAAAGGAACCGCGGACCCATAGCGCCTCTAAAAAGACGCACATATGGAAGAAAAATCTCGTTACAATAACGGGTCCCGTTGACTGAAACTGCGTCGAAGATTTGAAGGTCTGTACGAATACCAAGCATGATGCCTTCCCAAACGAGAACACGGCCACCTTCATACCTGTTCCTTTCAATGATGTTCGAGGGATGATTGCGGCTTCCTCGCTCTCTCCAGATGAGTATGCGATGAGAATCGCTACTCAGACTGAATCTGCTCTCATCTGTAAAGAGTACTCGTCCCCATTCATTGTCTCTCCAATTCCGGTGTTCCCGGCAACACAGCGAACGCCTTCTCCGATGGGCAGGCGTTAGAGGTACACACCGTACAGGGCGTCGTGCAAACAGACCACCACCGTGCAGTCTTCTGGCCACTGTAAAACGCGATATCGGTCGTCCAGTCGCCTGTGTCTAGCGATTTCTCCCGCTGTCTGCCGCCTGTTTCTTCTGGCCTGTAAGGCAATATACCGGTCATCTGCGGGTGTGGTTCCTCGTGGACGACCACTACTAAACCCCCGGATAGCTGTTCCTGTAGTTTGAAATTGTCTCCAAAGTCGTGAAACGATGCTGTGAGCAATTCCGAACTCTGCAGCCACACTTGTCACACTGCGGCCTTCCTCCAACTTCCCAATGATTCGACCTCGGGTAAAAGCGTCCAGATGTCGTCTAACAGATTGATTATTCGCCATTTCTCGCTGAGGCACCAACTCGGTGTGATTTTAACTGCTATACGGCGTGCAATCTCTTTGCCAGAAATACTGATCTTACACCGACAACATGCTTTATACTACTCAGACACTCCTCCATTACGTCTATCTGCATATCTGCGCATGTGCTACCGTACATCACCTTACTTAATCTCCTGATTGGTCTTTCTGTCCGCTCTGCCTCTTCGTTCAGCTGATATGCTAATTTTTCGACTTCGTCCTTAATTTTTGCACACCAGTGTAAATCATACAAGTAGTTTTGTTATTAACCTTCTTGATCCCCGCAAGCTCTCCCCGCCGAGTGCCGCCTTATCGTGCTGTCTGCTACAGCTCCGATGCATTCGCCTCAGTGAAGAAAGGAGGATTGGATATATTACTATATTTCAATGAACTATTGCTACGCATTTCATATCTTTAAACCTGGTTTGGATAATAATTAATAACAACAGGATCCTTGATTTTGCATTTTACAATAAAATTTGAAATCAATGTTGTTAATTTATATATCAAATCATGCGAGAGTTTTCTACCTGAATGAGATTCATGCGTATAAAAACTTTCTAAGGAATTTTATTTGTAACATAATAACAAATTTCCAGAAAATATAACAAAGGTGAAAAATAATAATATTTAGATATGTACGTGTGTTATATACAATTACTTACCGAAGTAAAACTGAATAAAATATCAGGCCTTCAAACAATTAAACTGAAAGAAATATTTTAGAACTATGTGAAATAGTAAAAGGATAAAACGTCTTTTGGAAATAAAATCTATGACGAGAAAAGGAGGGGTAGAGAATTATTTTTTATAAAACATATTACGAAAGAGATGAGAAAATGCATGAGAATCATAACTAAAGTATCTCAAAGCTTAATGTTGCATGCCCCCGCCCGATCCTCAGTGATTCAAATACTAGTATAACAGTTTTTATCCTTGTTCTTTTTTTAAATCATTTTCGGTATAATGCTTGACTAGTAAAATTTAAACATACAGTAAATTACTTCATTATTTGTAAAATACTCTGTAGATACATTAGGATTTCTGGTGCTGAGAGAGATGAAAAACGAGCAATGCTCTTTCCGGGACTCGAATAACGGACCTCTCGAATACGCGCCGAACGTGCTGACCACTACACCAGGAAGGCATGCTAAGAAGGCGGGAGAAATACCTTATAACTCTGCTAGAAACTTCACTTCGCAAGGCTAGCTCGAATTCACTGATTCACGCGAAATTCCGCCGTGCACTTACATGTCCGAATATAAGCAATGTATTTTCCCAAATCCCCCAACAATATTTTTAGAAACAAACAAAAAAGAACCGTGTCTTAATTTTAATATAATGTACCTATTATCTGAAGTCTGATACTTTTGTAACTGGCTAAACTTCTTGTGCCATATTGAAACTAGTTGTATGCTGGTATTATAGACACTATAAATCTCAATATGGCACAAGAAGTCTGAAAATTACAGAAATAGGGTTTCTGTAAGGAATTTGACTTCTCTACAAAAATACTACCCATAAAAATATTTATAAAGAAATAAAAGAAATATATAATGTTGATTTCGTTTTTCGAGTTATTCCTTCAAGTATATTTTTATGTGTAAATTTTTGTGAAAAATCAAAAGAAACGAATCATGTCCACTGTCATATTTGAACCTCTACTGTAAGGCTGCAGCTCCCGTGCATTACCATTGAAATGCAGGCTATTTCAGCAGTTTAAGAAATCAAGAAACATACATATTTTGCTTAGAGCTCCAGATGCGACTTCTTTCTTATTTCTGAGTATTCGGCATTAGGCTTTTGGATACACTGACTACCAATAAATATTTGGACACCTATGCAAATGACGATATCTGCGGTCCCAAGGTACGCCACGGACTCCGCCGGTATATATCGTGTAGGAAACAGCATAGACTTTAGTCGCATGCAAGATGCCTCGCAGTTCGGAGCTCTCTGATTTCGAGAAAGGTATAATTATCGGGTATCACAAATGTGGCCGATCCTTAAGGGACATATCTAGCGATCTGAAGTACCCAATATCGACAGTGGCCTATATGATTAAGAAGTGGAAGGTGAAGGGTGATTGTCGGAATGTGCCCCGAGTCGGCAGACCAACAAAACTGGGGAATAGAGACCGGCGAGTGCTGTTCAGAGAAATTCGGAAGAACCGCACCCAACCGATAGCCCTCCACCGCGAGGAGTTTCAACAGGCATCCGGGAATATTGTTTTAATGAATACCATTTGTAAGGAAGCACATCTGCTTGGTTTTCATGGTCGTGCTGCTGCCCATAAGCCTTTTATCACAAAGTCCAGCCGCGCTGCTCGGTTAATGTGATGCAAAGCACATCGAAATTGGACCGTAGATTAGTGCAAACGGGTTCTTTGGAGTGGCAAATCAAGGTTCACCCTTTACCGTCCGGATGGCAGGGTCTGGGTCTGGCGTCTATCTGGAGAACGTCTCCTGCCAGAATGCATTGTGCCAACAGTCAAGTTCGGCGAAGGTGGAATTAGGGTCTGGGGTGTTTCTCCTGGTATGGGCTGGGACCCTTAGTCCCCATTCATGGTAAGTTCAACTCCGATGCCTACTACACTATTTTGGATGACAATGTGCTTCCTACGTTGTGGCAGTTTTACGGGTTGGACCCCTGTTACTTTCAGGACGACAATGCCAGTTGTCATGTTTCGATGTTAACCAAGGTTTGGTATGGTGCCAATGGAGTTCATCGAATGGGCTGGCCTGCCCAGAGTCCAGACCTGAACCCTATCGAGAACCTCTGGGACGAGTTGCATCGCCGAATTCAGGGGTGCACTACCCTTGCAGAATCGGTGAAGAAACTTCTATGTCTTCTCCAAGCCGAGTGGAAGAAAATACCCCTAGCTGTCATACAAAGGCTTGTGGAAAGTATGCCTCGGAGGGTCCACGCTGTAAATACCTCTCGTGGAGGCTCTACCAACTATTGATTTTGAATAAAGTTAGTTTTTCTTTTCTATCGCAGGTGTCCAAATACTTATTGGTAGTCAGTGTATGTGTTGCTTTTAAGTACTTCTATACTTCTCAAATTTTATTGAGAAATTGTCGAATCCCAATTCACGTGCTTTCGTTAGAGAAAAATAGTTCAACAATTTTTCCGAGCTAAGACTTTCTCTGTTACCTATCTTTGCTACTGAACTTACAGTGCAATTCTTGGAGAAACGTTCATTTTTGGAGAATACGGCCTTGTATATCTTTGATTTTTTCCCAAAGTTTTATGTTTAAAAATCTTAATATTCTGATCAGATATTCTAAATAGTGCATAACCAGATACGTTACTGATAATGGAGACCTATTTTCTCTATGAACGCTTTCTGTTTGGAATGTTTTCGTTTTAAAAGTAGATTAAAAAAAAAGAAAGGTACACTGAAGAAAACAGTTGGTCCACAATTAACACCTAGCTGCATTTGTAGATAGCACAGTTACATAATCTGTAACATCTGTATTATAATAGATGTAAAAATATTCATATTTTTACTGATTAAAGTTTTTTTCATGTCTGTCTGACATATAATGCATTTTCATTTCATATTAAAATAGAAATTATTTTACGAAATTCTTTAGCAATTGGATGGCCGAATCAGAGAACTAGTGCTTCCATTCCTGTATAATAACGGAGAAGGACGATTGGTACCAATCCAAGAACTCGTTCTTACAAGAAACAAAGACAGACCGAAACACAAACAATTACCACAAAACAGAGATGCTGATGCAAAATCTGAAGCAAGATCTTTAACGATTAATATTGCTAATAATGGTGAAAATGAAGGTAATATTAATATTTCTTATAGGGAAAAATATCGTAATAAGCTTGCCAGAAAGCTTTGGTTAACTTATCATGCATCATATCAAGCTATTAAGATTAACTCAATTTCGTTTTTGTTTTTACGTCTAGCACCAAACTTCATTTAAAATGATACTCAGGTAAGTAGAGCGTCACATATTTGGTAAATGATTCGATTGTTTTGAAGACATATGTTACGGAATGACATTGCAAAAAATTGAAAAAGGACACCATGAAGATATAAGATTACAATTTTGAAATTCGCATGAAGGAATTATACGTCATTTAAACTTTTTTCGATAACAGGAAGCTGAAGAAATCCGCAATTGCTTTCGCCAGGATTCGAACTCTGTACCTCTCGAATATGTGTCGAGCGTGCTTCCGTTTACGCCACAAAGGCATGAAGAAAGGAGGGAAAATACCTTATGTAATTATAATATAACCCAAAAAATATTTTTAAACAGGTGTTAAAAATAGTGGGTATACAATTCTGAGATTTGTATTTTAAAGAGCGAAGACTAAATTTCTTCGTACAGATCGAGTGATTGATAAATTCTTACAGGTTTGTAAATGAAAAACCCGAAATAGCTCTTAATTTGTATACAAACGGATTCCATTAGAGAGACGGGAATTTTAGCTGGAGAAGGCAAACGTATTAGTGGTCGTACTGAACTCGGTGTAGTATTAATTGCTCAGTGAAAGCACCAAAGTACGGAGAAAAAATTATGAAATTCTTATTATTACGGATAATATTATTGCAGTTAGAAGTTTTTTGATAATTATGGGAGAAATCACGTCCATAGACATCACATCTGAAAAGAGATATGCTGTAGGATGAGACTGCGGATAATATGAACAGAGCAGAGTATAAATTCCACTTATATTCGAATGAATGTATTGAGACATTATGGAAAGGCAGACTGATAACCACCTATTTCTCTCTACTTAAACTACGCTGGAGCGTACTTCTCAACATTAATGGAAAAAGATACCACAAGAATCCCCTGGATAATTCTATTTTAAATAAGCTGTATTCATTCACTTTTCTCGTTAAGGAAATAAATCTCTTTTCCTTTTAAGTTTAGAAACAAATTTTAATATTTCTGTCGATTACCTGCATAGTTTAATGTTTCTTAGATTACATATCTAATGCACAATACCTAAACCTACAAATTGTCGAATGAATAAGACCACTGAGTATTGGTAATGGGTTCGCCATTTTGGCGACTGAACTAGCTGACTGCGTGGAGTTATCTTAGATTCTTTATTTGCTACATTCATATGAACAATTTCTTTAGAATGCTCTCCTTGAAAGTATTTCCCTTAAGATGGGCAGAGCTTCACTTGACTAATAACTAGTTACAGTCAAGCTAATAGTCAAGTCAAATCAAGCTGACTAATAACTTGAACTAATAGCTAGTAATTAACTATTCTTAAGTACATGATCAACGTTTCGCTCTATGGTTAGGGACGGTCTTGTACTTGGATCAATTTTTCCTTCTTTATGATCAGCTACTTGGTCAGCGGAACGAAGCAATAACTTTACAAACTTTATTCAAAATAACCTTATGTGTACGATATGTTTCGAGAGAACAATATACGTATCATAACTGATTAGGCTCTGGCTTATGATTTGAGACATTAAAGTTCATTTGCGAATTTACGTTAGAACCCAACAAATTGAGTTCGTTAATTTTGAAAACAAAATGTTTCATATACCTTTTATATAAGCTAGAATACCTTCATCCTGGGTTAAAACCAAAGTGCGTTTAAGCTCACTCATTTGGTTTCTTATGGAACCAGGTGAATTAGTAAAAGCTGCAAATTATCTCATTGAAATAGCTATCAACTACACGCTGCCAGTTTACTTTCCATCAAGAAAGGGACCTGAAAAATTCTTCTTAATTTATTAATTTTTTAATTTATTACACAAAAATTCAGCTATTGAGGTCTTAAATAGTACTTTTGTATTTACATGTACTCTTTTTCTTTCTTTTCTTTTTACCATCAGCTGGACAGCTGTTCCACTAGCCGTGCGTATTACCTATATATTAGCCTGCTTTACATATTATCTATAAGCTCCTAATCACGGGAAGATGCCGAAAAAGGGAACTGACAGAGGTGCTGTTTTCTCATGAAGATGTCGCTATCTTAGAAACAAAGTTTATAGAGATGCAAGGTAAAAAGGGCATAATTACATTACTTTAGCAAGCGGGTTGGGCTCTGAACCAATATGTTTGAAACAGAGAAAAATTTCCTTATGCGACCCGTTGGTGACAGCATTTTTTGCACGTTTCCTGTGCATTCGCATGAAAAACTGAATGATACCATTTCAAAAAATAAAAAAAAATGTAAGCTGATTCATAAATAATATTTTACTGCTATATAATAGTAATGTATACTTATTCGATTATATTGATGTCCGGTTATCGAAGACGACTCAGATAAATAAACTTCATTATTGGTATTAGTACCTCATATAAAGCATATATTTTAATACGATGCAGACACAATTTCGTCAAAATTCTGTTTTCACAGTTCAGGTAAGACATGATAAAGCGTCGTTTTGTTAACATGCAATTGTAGCTGTAAGAAAAAAATAATTTCTTGAAGGAGTTTCGATAACTTACTCATGGCAAATGATGCGAAGATTATCAAATATGTTCAATCCAACTTTTGATTCAATATAAATAGTGTAATTTTACCCAGGTCCTCCCTTACCATCAACCTCTTAAGAGAATGCCATGTTTGGCAGACTTTCAAGTGCCTCCATTCCTCAAAGACTCTACAATCACAACGTTTCATACCTTACATAGGATATGAATCGCGTTATACCCAGCCTTGAAACCATTGTATCTCTGATACGGCTAAAACTCTTTGAAAGACTCTGATTGCATGATATGCATTATAAGTTATGTAAAACAACTAAATATTAACTTATTTTCTTGTTATGCGCCATTTCTTACGAAGCCATAGTTTTTTTTTAAATTGTGAATATGAATTGCTAGTAAATTTTACTTCTGTTCTTTTCTTCATTCTTATTTACAACTATTTGTGATTTGTGAATAGTGCTTATATAGTAATATTTATACATAAATTTAAAATGATTCAAATATGTACTTTAGGTAATCCACAATTTCGAGAAGTATGCTGGGACCTAGATCAGCGAGGATCAGTTGGGGAATCTGCTCTGCATATGTGTTTTTTGATATCAAGTCCTCTTCATGCTGATCTGGCAAAACGTCTAGTGAAACTCTTTCCCAAACTCATCAACGATATCTACCAATCTGATGAGTATTATGGTATAACTTTAAAGTTTTGTGTTGCATATTTTATGGCATTTTATATTAAAAATACGGTCAACGATTTAAAATATGCTGTAGCTTATTTCGTTCAAACTCGATTCCCCTTCGTACTAGTAATCCTTGATTAATTCCTGTTATGCATATTTAAATACTACCAAGAATATTTTTGTACACTGTGTGATTTAGATGAGTAAGTAATCTTATTTTTATTACTTATTGTTTATTAGAAAAAATCTGTAGTTTTTAAAGAAACTTATATATTAATTACATTTTATTATTATAACAGTCATCTTCCTTACTGAACCATTGACCATTGATGAAGTTTGACACATTATTACAATCTCGACCGCATTGGAGTGGAATTAAACTTAACTTTTCTCCGCTTCGATGAAAAGCTTTGATCAATTATATGTAAATTTTTCATGAGTAATGAAAAAATAAGTATTTGAATCTGGGATTTACATCTATTGAATTAAAATAAAAATTGTATCATTAACAAAGCAGTAGTTGTTTTAAATTGTTTCCTGTGAGCGCGTATGTAATGTTTAAACTTATACCTTATTCAGGATATTACTTAAAGAATAGCTGAAAAATATTGAACTTTTGGAATAGTTATTTGACTGAATGAAAATTATACTTTAATTAAATCCATCGGTATTCGCATTTTGCAAACTATAAATAATTAAAAAGTAATAAAATTATTTTAAAAAATCCTAACAAAGGGAGTACTTACATAAGGTACACTTTTGCCATGGTTAATTAAGCTAGTTTAAATTATAGTTCAAGCTTAATATTTTCAGCTAGAGAAAAATTTTGAAAGAAAATCTTAACGCTTTTCAGTATCCCGAACTTTATTTGCCTTATCGCCTCAAAGCGTTCGCTATTCGCTACATCTGTAAACAAACCGACAGCGCAGAAGCGTCCTCCCCGGTTTTACTACAAACATTTTGGCGAAATGTACGTTATTAAAATGGCTTGAAATTGCATTTCATTTAAATTCTAAATTACTCGCACATGACAAAGGCGCACATGCATTTAAAACCTAATATTCCGAGTCTAAAATTTATTGATTTTTGGTTGTAAACAGTCACAGCATGAAAAATGTTTGTTGGCGCTGCCTGTTGAGTTTTGGTCATTTAAATGTTTTTTAGCAGATAAGCCATCCACAAAACAATTAGAACCACGAAATAATAGTAGCTAGTTTCTGTTTTCTTTCCCTCTGGTTGATTGGCTTAGCTGATTAATATTTTTATAAGGTTAGAATTAGAGTCGATTTTTCACAGAATGTCCTCCAGTCAGTTAGAAAGCCAAATCTCTGCTGTAATTAACAAATCTACAAACATTTCACAGTTATCTAATGAATATAAAACATGTCATCCAAACTTTTTAAGTAATTTTGCCAAATGGAATTTTTGGTCATCAAATTAAATTTATATTCTCAGGAGAAAATGTACTTCATATGGCAATAGTTAACGAGGATCCTGCAATGGTGAAATTTTTACTAGACCACGGAGTGAACTACCATGAGCGAGCCACTGGAGCGTTTTTCACTCCTGAAGATCAAAAACCTACTCGCACAGATAACTTAGAGCACGAGCATGTTGATCTAAGTCTCAAGACAGATTACAAAGGGTATGGTTTTTAATTGAAATTGTCCGCTTATACTTTCTAATGAAGTATAAATTTTAAACGTTTTTCAGACACTTTAAAAAGTCTCACCAATATTGGTAGTTATATCTAGGCCCAAACCTATGCAAACGACTAGCTGAATGATGGGCTTCCGTGTTTTTCCCCATATATAGCACGGATAAGAGTCAGTTTTCCATATAAGTCCTACACGATGGCATCTCTCCTATTAGGCAGACAGCCACCGTGTGGCTTTGCTATATTCAAATAACATAGCCAATTGCTTTAGAGAACAATTCTGTCTTGTAAACTCAATATTACTCATTTATGATATGTTGTTTTTATTCTTAAATAATGTTATTCCTGACATATTAAATAGTAATTCAATTTAGAAACAGTATTACGATGTAAGGAAAATTGATGATATAAGGAAATTTAACTATAAAGCTATACAGGCATTGGGTTGTTTTGAAGCAGGAAACATGAAAAATGTGCAATGCCCTCGCCGGGATTCGGACCTCACGAATACGCGTCGAGCGTACTGACCATTACACCACGAAGGCATGCTAAAAAGGCGGGAGAAATGCCTTATATACATCCACTTTTAAAGGTAGACTGGGGATTAGGGAACCCAATCGCCAAATCCTGGGGTGTAGCATCTTCATCCACCACCTTTTTTTTTAGTTCGGGCTCCACTGTGGAAACATTATGTTATTTTCGAAGCAAGAGTGTGTATTGTCCTCGCTGGGATTCGGACCTCTCGAATACGCGTCGAGTGTGCTGATCATTACACCACGAAGGCATGCTAAGCAGCCGGGAGAAATACCTTATAAAGTTAAAATTTCAAAATTTTCATTCATTTGCTGGTTTTTAATAATTTCTATAATTACATGCGCTCTTGCTATAACTCACTATCATATTTGTTTGCTTCATGACATATTAATAATTATTAATATTTGTTTACTTGCTTTGTGTGGTTTAAAGCTAATAATTTAAGTTTTGTCATGTCTCATTTGGCCTACTTTTTCATTTATAACATATTTCTGACTTCACAGAAGAAGCTGCTAATTCTTTTAATACAATATATAATTCATAGTTATACATACTTTATAATATAAATATCAGATGCCTATTCTTTCGAAAATCTCATTCTTCGTGTCACCAGATGTTGACTAATGTAAGAAAATTTCTCAACTTTCTTGAAAAGGTGCATTTCTTGAAAACTATTGTAATTGAAGTTAGGGTGAATCAGGTGCTCTTATTTTCTTTAGGGCGTTAGTTTAAAATAGCGTTAAAGGGGATGTTAGCAGATAATTAACAAAACTAAACATTATATTTCTGATTTAAAGTCATTTTTAACACTATTTCTCATTCCAAGGTCTTATTCAAACATTAGCTTTCGGAATTTCTCCAATTCTTTAAAGAAATAAAATGTCTTAGAAATCATTCAACCAAGCAACAGTGAAGAACCGGTCTCTTCACAGACGAATCCCGATTCAGCCTAATTACTGATTCTTCACGTACCTTCGCAGAAAATTACATAGAAACCTGCTATCTGTCCTCCAGCATCTCAGAAATGGACCAGTCAGTAGCGGAGGACTGATAGCATGGGCAGGCATCATGTTAGACAGGCGCACTGAGCTCAGCCTTCATATCTTTAACAAGTGTTCTGTGGCTACTGCAAAGTACAGAAAAGAGATCTTAGAACATCGCGTTCGCCTTTTCAAGGCTGCATGTCTGAGACCCTCTTGGAAGGGCAACTGTAACTCGCCTTCGCCATCAGAAATCATGCAAAGTACAGAAAAGAGATCTTAGAACATCGCGTTCGCCTTTTCAAGGCTGCATGTCTGAGACCCTCTTGGAAGGGCAATTGTAACTCGCCTTCGCCATCCCAGAAACCCTTTAAGACCTAAAATAGAGTGCTGCAGGAATGGGATCGACTACTACAGAGACTGCCTTATTTCCAGTATGAAGTTACGCAGTGTAAGTTCTATGACTATTAGACGGGAACATACCCTCTAATAGCTTCATATTCGTTCGATCTTGCAACCTCTGCTTTTATTATTTATTTATTTGTTTATTTATATTTATTACATCAAACTGTATCCATACCAAATTTCACTAAAATGCAAATCCACTAAAATTGTTCTCCTGTGTTGGTTAGTTTATCAAATTCTAATCCTGATTTCTCCCGAACTTTAAAGTACTTAATTCTTGATTGCTTCCTCATTTTTTCCGCGTCAACAGAGGACAATACCTGTTTCGTTTCCTTTCATTATAGAAAGAAATTTTACATCACCACCTTGAATTTCACTTTTTTCAATTAGGTTTCCTAAATATTCTGTATTTATCTTTTTTTCGTCAAACCCGTTGAAATGTACGTTGCTGGAGTCTTCGATCATTTCACCGCTTTTTTTTTAAAGTAATATTTTTTAACGCACTTATTATTTTTCGCTTCTGATAACAGATCTCTAAACAGTTAGATAAAATTTTCTTTTAATACCAACTGTAAAACCTATACAGGAATAATATCATTCATTAGTTAAAAAAGAATGTATATGTACAAGATCCTCGGCAAATTGTCGTGGTTATCCAGGGAAAGAGAACGCAAATATTTCAAATACTTCAATGGACAAATGACAGCGCTATCACAAAGTAATTATAAATTTCCATGCCAGCTTAGAATGATCTATGGAAGCGCCTTTAAACTCAGTTTTACAGTGCTTTACTTTTGAAGCATAGTGATTGTATCTCCCGCCAGCCAACATACATAGATAGCTAAGGCCGATAACGTTTTGGTCCAAAAATTCGATAGCGAGTTTTCAGTGAATTAGCGTCCCCACAGCACGTTTTTACTATTTTTTAAATGATTTCTGTATGTATGTGATGAGATTTTCGTCCACTATAACTCTTGTATGAAAGTACCAAAATTTTATGTTTCCTGTATTTAAGGTTCCTGTATTTAAGGTTTTAAGTTTTTTTTTTGGGGGGGGGCAAAACTGGACAATTGGAAGAACAACCGTACTTTATATGAAACAGTTTAGTTTTTAATGGACAACCAGAAGTAGTGCTTTACTTGAACCCCATAGCCATTTTGAATAAAAACCTCTATTAAAATATGTTCCAAAACTTTTCAATTTTCGATTTAAGACTTTTATATCAGTCGAAACAATATATTAGTTTTGGGTTAAAATTGATATATCGGAAGTGATTCTCTACTTAAAGCACTTTACTTGAAGCTCTGAACAGACTTCCTAAAGCCAAATACATAAAAAAATAAGATAACCCCAAACTTTCCAATTTTGGTTTTAAATTAGGTATGTGATTGAGAACAACATACTGTAAAGACCTTATTCTGTATTAATCAATTACTTTTTATTTTGAGAAACGTTTCTTTCTCTCCTGATTTCAATTTCTTGCCAGAATGCAAATTTAAATGACGTACATGCAAATCTAAATGAGTTCGGAAATAGTATTTAAGTAGCAGAATTTAAGGAGTCTATGCCGCCTGTTTCCAAGTAGCTCTGTTGCTGAATATCTTGTGCTAGCCACTTACTTTAATTTATTATGATATTCTAGACTCGGCTTCGCCGTATGCAGCCGATAAAGCGTATTTAGAGTGAAGCAGAAGCCACTCGTGTAGTTAAAATGTAATTCATTTTCACTTTATATACTAGTTTGTGCTACATTACTTAGCCACAAGAGGTGGCTAAACTGTGAGCACCGACTGAGTGGAAATTCTGTTCAGTTTAGTTAAAATAAAAAGGTTATTATAGTCTTCACCGGCAGTCATCTTTTTTTTTTTTTTTTTTTTTTTTTTTTTTTTTTTTTTTTTTTTTCAAGACATAGCGAGAATTTTCTTTTTCTTGTTCAGTAGGATCTACATTTTATGCTTCCAAAAAGAATGAGACTCTACAAGACTACATTTATGAGCATTAAATTACTACATTTATAGCATTATTCTTGGAATTATGCTATATGTAGCAAGAATAAGCTGAGTATAAAGACAAACGTTATAATGCAATTAAATGTATTAGCCTATCCTTAATTCTGTGTTCGTTTCACTTTTGTGTCAAATTACTTTTCAAATAAAAGGATACTGCCATCAAATATTATCTCTGTATATTAATCTTAAAGTTATAATACAGCAGATATAAATAATACAGCGAGTATAAAAACATGTATGGACACAATTAGTACTCTATTTTGAATATGAATATATGCTGATTTTAAAGGTTTTTATGGTTTTTTTTTATTGAATACTATGTGGCCTAAGTACAAAGAAAGTGATGTTTCTTAAATAAAGCTAAAAGGAAAAATAAAAAAGGGTGTCATCGTATTTAGAAAACTAGACACTGATATCATAAAGTGAGAAAAGACTGAAAAAAAATGTGTGGCAACACTTAACACTTTATCGGAAATTCTAAAGATATGTTGCTTTTAAAAATTCTGTTATTATTAATTCATTGACTTCTGAAGCCGAAACTCTGTATGGCTAGAAGATGTACTACGATGGATGCAATATATTTAAATGAAAGCATGAGAACGGATGTGTACATGAACACATACAGTTATTGTTGTCCATTGCATAGGAGAATAGAATAATAAAAAATTAGTAGTGTTATAATTAACATTGTGACATAAACTTTATAAATAAATTAAATTTTATTTACAAACGTTCAAACGGAAATGATAGTTCTCTTTGCTATTCCACCAGTTCCGTGTTTTAACATGGAACTGGAGAAATTTCACGTGCTGGCTACATCAGATATTTTAATCTTGTTGTTTGCTAAAACCTTCATCTGGCATTTGAGAGAAACTATCACAACTTTCATCGGCTATTTTCAAAACACTATCACACATATTCCTGCTTTTGGAGAAAAATTCTAAATTTTTTAAACTTTGTAGAGTTTTACTTTATTTTTCTAATAGCTATTTTTATTTTAAAACAGCTTTACTATACGTTCTCATTTTCCTACCTACGCTTTTCTTCCAGAGCCAGTTTTCACTTTCATGCTTTATGCAAAATAGAGGAGAAACTACTGTTAAAGCTGAGGTTCGATATTTTATTATTAATTCTGAATCTCGATCTAATTTCCTAAACCAAAATCTTTGTATAATCTCTTTCGGTATTAAAATCTAGACGTTGCTAAATCTGTGATTTCAGAATAGCATAAAAGACATGTCAGTTGAAAGTAAAGAGTTTCTTTCTCTTAACACAATCCTCATGTTGTAAATTAATACGCTGATTCTAAAAGATAACTGATGCAAGAATTTAATTATAGTCATGATTTATTCTTCCGTTTAATGTTTTAAAAATGTTTTACTACTTCACGGTGAATTTGAACTACCATACATTCTAAAATTTTGTCCTCTTGAAGGCATCTGAAATGTCTTCGTAACCCAAACTCCAGCAAGCCGCTCCCCTTGCTGGAATCTCCAAGAGCTTTAAATTGATCTTTATCCCTTCCCTTGCTTTTAAAAAGGGAATTTCACACTCATAATCTCTCTCCTAATCTCCTATGCTTTAATATTGTACGCAGAATGGCACAATGAAAAAGGAAGAAAATATATCTGCCTAAGGTTAAGGATGCTTTCTTGAAGGTCTTTCTAAAAAGAACAAGATTGTATCCATGTTGCACATGGAACAGAACCTCGAAACTTCCAGTGCAACCAACCCGATCTCCAGGATTTTAGCTCGAGTCGAACAATCAGCGAGGGTCCCGTAACTTTAGCTTTCGGCCGCTAGTAACGCCCTGAATGTCTTAATTTGATCGGCTTCTTGCTGTAGCATCTCTACAACATTGCAATTAATAAGAATTCAGTACTAATGTCGAGTTTCTCATACAACTAATTTTGCTCTCCACTTTCAGTACAGTAATGAAAACATTGAATGAGATATTAATTATTTTATTTAAAACAGGAATTTTGTTAAATAATTTTATCCCAATGTAGTCTGAAGAAATTCTTCTGAAAACATTTTATCATCAGTCATCTCAAACTGGTGGTCCATAGGCTTGCTACGGCTATCGAAGCAATTTTCCATGGTCCGCGAATACATTTTCCTTAAATTAATTACCCTTATTATAACGTTAATTATAATGGCAATACTTTGAATAAACTGTTTAGAATTTTAATGATTTGGAGTACAATTTTATATTATTTTCTTTATCATTAAAAACAAGCATGAGTAACACACCACAAAAAGAGCTAATTAATTTTCACTTTGATATAAATCTTTCTACAAAAATCTTTGAAGATCCTTTTATGGGAATGATCATTAATCAATTTATTAATATTTGCAGAATTGTTGGATGTATATTAATATGTCAACAGTTTTTCCGCAGTTGAAAATTAACAAGTCTAAGAAAATATCAGACTGACCGATGAGCATCTACAATTTGTGATGAAAATAATTTCTAATAAAGTTTCTCTAAGGTTAAGAATTTTATCGAAATTGATACCCCATCAGGTGTTGTTAAAAGCCGTAGTAAGAAGTAAAAAAATGTATAAGTATTTATAATACATAATTATGCTTTTTTCTGTATACATCGAAGAAATTATTAATAAATAAAATGAAAGAGATTATCATTATTTGTTTTCCGTTTTGTCTGATTCGGAAAGTTTTCGTAACTTGCTTATTTTTAGTTTGAGTTAAAATTATATTCTTTAGAACTCAATTGAACATATTATATTATATATTTTAAATATATATTCGTTTAACACTTTATACTTAGATATAATATATGTTTGAATTACAACACAATTTTCTTGCGAATACCAATCTTCAGATTTCTGAAAGAAAATAAACATAAATTTGAATTTTCTTTGTGTCATTATTATTACTGTTTCCATATGCTTTGATTAATATTCATTAAATTAAATTTAAAATTTATTTTCAAAGTTTCATTATGTTAATAACAACCTTTCATTTTGTTTAAAAGCAGTTCCGGGCCTTCAACTGCTTTCAGATTGTGCATTCGGCCAGCATGCAATTTGAGTTGAGACTAGACTGTGCTAGACATATTTTCGACTGACTGGGTTTATCTAGTGGAAAGCTGAAAAGCATTTTAAACCCCCAAATCAGCATAGCTCTGTAAATTTGTGCTCTTATCCGTTGCAATTAAAAATGAAAAGTGTGTGTATGTGATTATGGCAAAGCCTCGAGGGCTATTTGCCTAAAGCTAGGGATGCCTTCGTGGAGGACTTTTTAAGGGAAACTGGCTCGTATACACGTTACACATGGGGAAAACCACAAAACCGCCCATGCAGCCAGCCCGTTCGCGGGATTCGAACCTCGGACCGAACTACCAGTGTTCAGCGACTTTACCGCTTGGCCGGTCGTTGGCCAAAAATGAAAAGAATGATAGAAAAATGTACTGAAGTAATTTATAACAAAATATTTCCAAAAATATATTTAATGTTAACAGCTATTCTGCAAATAATCAATTTTTCTCCCATTTTTCTCAGCTACGTCTACTGGGGTGAGTATCCACTGTCATTCGCAGCATGTTTGGCACAAGAAGAATGTTATCGATTATTACTAGCAAAAGGTGCAGACCCCGATATGCAGGATACCAACGGAAACACCGTCCTCCACATTCTTGTTATTCAGAACAAACTGGTAAGAACTGCTTTATCATTTAAGTGTCCAAATTTTAATTTGACTGATAAATTCATAAAAAAGATTTAAGAACTTCCTGTGTGCGAATTTTTCATCTAGTTATAAGTTACATACTCTATTTAAAAAATGTAATAGTAAGACAAAATCTAATTGTGTTCCAAGACGAACAACTGGCTTAAATTTAAGAAACATTTAATTTAGATTCCAAAGCAATCAAAATTATTATATCTTCTAAGAATAAATGAAAAGTTTTGTTAAGCTTATTAAAGTTATTTAAAATTTTTATTGATTAATTAAGAAAGTAAACCGATTCAGAGCAGAGCTCTTAGTTTCGAGCTGGCTCGAACGCAGACCCACTTCTTTGTGTGCAAAAGTACTCCACTTCTAAGCTATCAAAACAGGCAGGCAGCTTCATCTAGCTTCTGTTTGAATACAAGTTTAGTACATATGAGAGGTTACTGAGCAAGCAAAATTGTTTCTAAGAAGGAATTAATCGAATGTACCTTTTACATTCTCATCTTTTGTTTGTAATGATACACACTCTAGCCAAATTCAACATAGGCGCCTACCCTTCCATGGATCCTATTTTAAGAAGGAGTCCTATGAAGACATTGGGGGGGGGGCTTGAAACCAGAATTTCCTTCCCGAACGCATAACAAAATCGCTCGCTGAGTTATTGATTCCGGGATCCAGCTTCGGAAATTTCTACTTAAATTTGTTCTGGACAAATGTTATTGGCAAACAGATGAGATTTTACTGGCTCGCAGCAAATGAAATTTTACTGGCTCGCAGCAAATGAAATTTTACATACCAGCATATGAGATGCGAGTTTTATGTGCGCGTGAAAGCAAATTATTGTGCTTTATTAAAAAAGCGTTTTACTGTCAATTCTATGATATTAACGTAAGTATTATGCTCATGTGTGAACGTGATGATAACAGGAAAAAGCAGATTAAACTCAATCTGGAAAACAGAGCACTCATCACAAATCCTGTACTGTTTAAAGTCTTTTTCTTGCTTATCTTGATAAACAACTAGGCTAACTTTACCATTCTTCTAACTTCCGTGAGTAAATATACAACTGGTACAGACTTCCCGTAAAAAGACTGCCATCAAGAAATTTTGATGGGAAGGGCCTTAAAAGGCTCTCCTTCATTGCAATTTTACTCAAAATTTCAGTATCAATGGGTGGAATACTAGAGATAATAAAAATAGCCTTGCAATTAGTAGTTCTGCAGCTACGAACAATCCTTAAAAGAAACCTTCTTTGAATTTTCCTTAGAAGCTTTCAGTTTACTTTCTTCAGTAAAGAACCGCCCCAAGCACTTGATGCAAAGAAAAAATCTAGCGCTATTCCTAAAATATACATAATTTTAATAACATTTGCTTTGACTCCATTAGCGTTCTTAGAAATTTTAAATAATCTTGAAAATACCTTTTGTCATTTATCCGAGAGATAGGAAATATGATACTTTCAACGAAATTTGTTATCCAAGATAGCTCCTAATTACTTTAATTTAAATGCCTTCTTCTATAAGAATGTCTGCAAGTGCTAAACTTATTCTTCAGTCATTAGTCATCGTTTTGTGTACCGCATAATTTGGCTGTTGAGAGGACTGAATTTCAATTTATAAAGTTTATACCACTGAAACGCAGTATCAAGTGTTAACGAACAATTAAATGTAGATCATCCGTAAAAGTAATTTTTTAAAAAATTTGAAAAGCAGATAATTTACTAAATGGTAGTACATTATCGTTATAAAATCGCATTCTGAAGCGTGGCCCTGGTAAAATATAGCAGCACAGAGTGGTGATACGTTTTAACATATCTTAGCACAGAATGGTGAAAAGGTATGTTTAAATTGCCTAAGTATATTTTAAACGTACCTTATCACAGTTAATTGCTAGTAATAACGACTAAAGAGACTAAAGATTATAGGATTCGTTGCCACATCTAGTGGCAACGAAATAAGGGTCATCATGACATTCCAATGATGCATGCTTGGTTTGTTTTCTTTTTTGCTTACCTGCAACCACATGCGTAAATGGCCTTCACTGATATCTATATAGAAGAGTTATTTAATTTTAGAGGCATTGCGGTCTTATTTCCCCAGAAGATTCTTTCTTTATACCACTGTAGACATTCTTGATGATGCGATTATGTCAGGAGAAGACAGATGAAAGAATAATAAGCATTCATTATTTTCGTCATGAAATTAACGTAAAATAATGGTAACAGTTTGGAGAACAGATAGTTTTGGCATTGCAACATTTAAAATATACATGAACCTTGGAATTTTATTTTATAAAATTAGTCGCCTAATCTTGAAATCTTCTCGTTACGTACTTCTGAATCAGTGTACCATGTTTCTGTATTCCTATTTTCCTGTATCCCCAGCAATGTTCACCAAGTTTTTTTTATTCTGAATTGCATGGGCATCAGTTTTTTTATGTCGAACATCCGTGGTCTTAGCATTCTGATAGCATGAATTTTACGAGTACCTTATAGGGGTGTGGTAGATAGCCAGTGTTCACACTGAGAGAGATCGACATATTGGCCACGTAGTCCAAAGTAAAGGCAAAGAGATACGGTGTATGGTTTCTAACTAGAAGGTAGCTATTTGACACCAATGTCACCGACACAGCGGTAGCGGAAAAACAAACACCAAGCACTTACCTTTCTTACTACGACAGGGTGCTATGAGAACCCACAGAGTTAATGAGCAATTTTGTTCGGTCTGATACATTCAGTTTTACTTTTAATATCTCCATCTCTTTCTCGGTGTGATATTTGCTGGCTGTCTGGTCACAATACCTTCGACATAACAATGGTAATAATACCTTCCGCATAACAATGGTAGTCTTGAATTATTAGCTGTCACTTCTAACAGTTCTAAGAGATAGTACTAATCCCATCAAGTTTTATAGACCTCGTTGGTTTCTATTTCACAAAGACAAAAATTGTTTTATTTGTCCATTCCAGTAGCGGGCGAGAGGTTAGTATTACTAAATACTGGTAGTTCAACCCGAATTCCAACTCAAGCGAACGGACTGGTTGAACGGATTTTTAGGGCTTTCCTCGTGTGTTACGTGGATACCAGCCTTTTTCTCTTAAAAGGTCTTTCAAGAAAGCATCCATAACCTTTGACAGATCGCCCTGGGGTGTTGTGCCACATACAAATAACCTAGCATAACCTTCTAAGGCCCTTTCCTTGATTGCATATAAAAATCACTTACGAAGTAGACGCTGCTAAACTGTATGCAAAATTTTTGTTGTCCAATCTGATTACTTCCAAATGAAGTATTTTTTATTGGCGTAACGACATATTTTAAGAATGCTTGTGTAGAAACATTTCCGGAAAAAATTGCTCGTATGCCTTATAAAAAAATAGCATTTTATGAAGCGATAGGGAGATTTTTACTGAAAGGCAGATTTTACGGGGAATTCATTTATTAACTGAAAGCTTAAGCAATAACTCCAATTTCTTTCATTCTCAGGCTACAAACTCCATTTTCAACCTGAGTAGATAAACTAATTTCTATTGCAATTTCGTTTACTGATCAATTTTGGTGAGATGAGATGGCTTTATGTGCATTTGTTTAGCTTTTTGAATCGGCAGCATAAGTGCTTTTCTACAGGTAATAAGTTTCTTACGATATCCAACAACCGATTCAAAAAACCATTACATGCTTCTTGTTTAATCAATTATCTATCTACCTGTATATTTCTTTTTTTTTAATTTTTAGGAAATGTTTAATATGGCATACGAGTGTGGGGCTTCCTTGGATATAAAAAATAGGCAAGGATTAACTCCTCTTACTCTGGCTGCTAAGCTAGCGGTAAAAGACGTAAGTATGTTATACTTAAATTTAAATATTTCCAGTATAAGTTCGTCATTAATCCCGAAGATATCCTGCGTTCAGTCATATTCTGAGTTACTTTTTTCTCATCAACTATGGATTAAACAAAGGAATATTTTTAAACTCCTCATAGAAGAATTTATCACTTTAACGCGTGCGTTCTGTCCTGGTGTTTCTGATTCCATATAGCATTGTTTCATCTACAGTTAGAGGCCCGATGAGGGCAGAGTTGGCTTCTCACATTTCCTATTTCGAAGAATCTAATAATCTTTAGACTTTAACCTAGCACTTTGCAAATAGGCCATCAAACTGTAATTATTTCTGTTTGTAAATCATCTTTCCCCTAGCAGGGTAATACCAGCTTCAGTACCTAAAATTAACTCAATGATTGCCTTGATATTAAGTCGATTAAGGACACTTAATTCACTAAATAATAGTTATAGTGCTTTTCAAAACAAAATTAATTTCACAAAGTTTCTGTAATTATTTTTGATATGGTGCTATCTCTCCAAATTTAGCTCTCAATGTTTATCAACCAAAACTGTACGTAGTCTCTAAAATTAATGTGCAAGACATTAGATATCAGCTTTGAGTTATTCATTGAGCTGCACCTTTTTACATATAGTATACTTTTGCTTCCAAATAATAATGCCTAGCACTTAGGACAAAAAAAGGGAAATTTTATTGTTAAAAATAGTTTAAAATATCAAAATATCTCAAACATGCTCCACTTTTCAACTTAAGTGGAATATAAATTAAGGTATTTGTCTGTTCATATTATTTGTTTGACAATCCTAGTGGAACTCGGTCGAAGTTTCCTTAAAACAGGCTGTCATCACCTCCTCATCTGATGCAATGCGATTTTCACTAAAACCCATTTGTTCACTAAACCCTTTTAAAAGACATATTGAATTTATTCAGAGATAATTTAGTAAACAACAGATAAAGAAACTTCAAAACAAGTTTCATGAACCTCACCAGTGGTAAAGGGCCTGTTTCTTTAAATGTGATCGTCTACTCATTTCAGCAGTGATAACTATCGGTCACCTTAATCAAACTTCGTAATAGACATACGGCGAATCCTAAGCTAACAATCAAGTACTAGTTTTGAATATTTCTCTTATTCATCAAGTCTTCAAACCCTTCAAGGATTTAACAGTGGATAACAGTGTGAGCAATTTTGTTTCATTTAAAAGACGAATAATCGCACTCACTGAATGATCGACAAGATTGTCAGACACATAAAAATAACAAAAGTATGAAGCATACAGCAAAACAATTTTCAAGGATTGAAAACTTTGGTGACAACTATAACAACATAAGAACTTCAAGTATCCTTGAACTCAATGACATACCCGATGGAGTTAAGTAAGCAGTTCGCAACAATAACCTTCACGATCGAACAACAGAAGAATTTGTGATTTACTTGAAGTGATTTTTACATTACAAAATTGTAGTATATAATAATGCATAGAAAATACAAATAAATTTTAGAGTTTATATTTAAGTACTATATATTACTTGTAGTGGGAAATTAGAAACTAAGTCGAGATTTCTGCATTTTCAATCTATCACGTGGCAGAAAAGATGGAAGAAAGTTGTGTGACATTTAGGTTACTCATGTTATTAAAATAGTAAAATTATGCCCTCATCTATTGTTGTTGCTTACTTAATCATTCATGTCTCAATTTTTCTAAAATAAAAGATGATCAACTTTATCGATGATGCACCTTTGCATAAAAATAACTAAATAGCATGCATTTTATTCAAATCCATGCATAAAAACTTGTTTAGAGAAACGAGGAGATAAACTTAAATTAATTTTTAAGCCTGATAGTACAACTATTTTTGTTATTATGTTAGATATCTAAGGAGAACTTTCAGTTATCTTTAAAAAGTACTAGTGTTGTAGGGCCCCTTTTCAAAAAGTCATGGTATACGACTTTAACAATTATTTTGCTTCACTGCAGCAACGTTATGTCCTCTGTCTCATTCAGTTAATTTGTTACCTTGCTGCAAAGTCATATGAGAATATAAATAACAGGCTTAAACCTTTCAGTTCATTAAAATACGGTAAGAAGCCTTTTAGCTAAAAAACAAGGATGTATGTAATAATATTTTTAAATCAATTGATTGAATTAAATTCTATTAATATTGCTTAATAATGTGTTGGCGATTCTCTACCTAAATTGCATCCCTGTTCCTAAATTTGGCGAAATCCTTTCTTTAGTATAAAATATATTAACCTGTTGGCGCCCGCCAAATCGCCAAACTCATAAATCTGTCATATTACATAAAGTACTTAAGAACACTCCTGATGAGAAGATAGCGTCACCTCGTGATTTCAATTAATATCGCTGATTGGAGGAGCCGCGTTACGTACACATATGTATAAACTGGGCTTCTGCTCAAGGTACGAGGAGAACGCTTACGAGATGGATGCTAAAATAAACCTACCACTTTATATTCCAAAATTTGTCTCATTCCTGTTGCCCCGGCTGCACAAAACAAATAATGTATGAGAAATTACATTTCAGAAAGCCGGTAGGATACCACCTTCAAAGGGATTATCTAAAAAGGAAAATACCCCAAGGATTATACGGATAAAATGTTACGCACTTTAGATGAATTTGACCCTGTGTGCGACTTCTATGTTTCTACATTTTTCTCTAGGCGTTCTTGCTTTCAAGAGAATCATCCTTCTGTTAACTGTATTCTGGTATTCTGCAGATTATTTGACGTCCAGAGAAGCATCTTATTTTACTGTCCAGAGAAGCATGTTATTTTACGTCCAGAGAAGCATCTTATTTTACGTCCAGAGAAGCATCCTTCTGCCCCCTGATGTGTGATTTGATCTGTGTTTCCATCGAAAGTTCGTCGTTCGTCAAATGTGCTCTTACCGCTGACCTACTTTTGAGGATGTGAAATCTTTCCCTACGTCTACGTACCGTTCTGTGTTGCTCTCGAGAGCTTTGTGCTTGTGTGGTGATTGATCGTGTTTTACGGAAAATCTAATCAAGAGTGCACAAATATGTGTATTTTCGTGTCGATTTCATCACTCGTATTCTCGTCACAATACGCGTCAAACAGAAGCAATTAGTAAAAGGATTGGGGATGCAAATGATATTATTACTCTATTGAATTATAATTACTGATTTAATAATAGTGTTTTTATTTGAAAATTTTAAAAAGTATTATTTTGGTATAAATGTATTTTAAATTTGGTATTTAAAGGATGTATTTTGGTTTTAATATTGTTTTGGGAAAATTTAAAGAGTATTATTTTTGATTTAGTTTTATTTATGAAAGTATTATTAAAAGGGAATAATGGCTAATGAAAATACCTCTCTGATCCTGATGATTCATTAAGGGCAGCTAGCGCTGAACCTGAAACAAGTATAATTCCCTTTGACGCGCAGAATGATATGGATATAAATTCATGGCTTGAGTACTTTAACAAAACTCATTTAGATAAAGATGAAAACGTGGAAGCTTAATAATGTAGCTCGATATCTAAAAGGTAATGCACTTAGCGTATATGTCAAAAACTGCCATAAAATTACTAAATATGATGGTAATTAAGAAAAAGAATTTTTATAAAATTGTAGTACCTAAATCTTTAAGATTAAAATTGTTGAATAAAACCCATAAAAATTTTGGTCACCCGGGAGTTCAAATTATGCTTAACTTAATCACCTCTCAATATTATTGGCCTCATATTAGCGAAGATATCGGAAATTTTGTTAAACATTGTCATACTTGTCAACTTAATAAAAAGAAAAAACAGAAAAAATTGGGTCTTATGCAAGACGTACACCCAACCGACAAACCTTTCGAATGTCTCTCTATTGACACTGTGGGAGGATTTAATTATTATAATTCTACAAAAAAATATTTATAGTTATTGACCATGCAAGAAGATATGTCTGGGCTTTTCCCTCTAAAAGTGTAACTTCAGAAACCTATGCCAATTGTCTAAAACAAATATTTCAAATACAAGTCCCCGAAAAAATTCTGAGTGACAGGAATGCAGCCTTCACTTCCTCTAGATTCAAAAAATTTCTTAAAAAGCATAAGGTTAAACAACTTTTAACTTCATCTCACCATCCCCAGACAAATGGTAAAGTAGAAAGAGTAAATCAATCAATAGTAAGTCGACTAAAATGTAAAGTAAATTCTTCTTCTAAAAAAGTACCGTGGACTAAAGTGCTAGAGCAAGTTGTTTATCGAATATAACAACTTCCCCTCATACGGTAACTAAGTTCACCCCAGCATACTTACTATTTGGTAACCTCCCTTTTGAATCTCCAATTGATCAAAATAAATACCCTTCCTTAAATGAAGCAAGGGCTTTAGCAAAGAAAAGAACTATCGAATACCACCGAAAGAATAAAACTAGATATGACATCCAGATTTGTAGAATCTAAATTTCAACCTGGAGATTTTGTCCTTTACGAGGAATTTGAATACCCAAATACTAGAAAATTGACTTCACCCTATTCAGGCCCTTATCAGATTATGAATAAATTATCTGAAGTTAATTATGAAATCGACAGGGAAAATTTTCACACGAAGAAACCAACTGAGATTGTACATGCGTCAAAATTAAGGTTCTATTATCCACCCGAGAACTTTAAATTACATCATGAATAAATCAATAAACTATCCATAACCCTTCTTTTAGTTTTCATCCTGTTGTCCCCCTTTATAGTTGATTTATATCTCAGTGTCTGAAAGGTTTGTCTGCCCTTTTCTTTTACTGGGCTCCTTCAAACTTGAGTTTCAGGTTCAATGCACTTTTCGTGTGGGAAACACTCAATTGAGGCTATACTACAAGTAGAGTACTATACCCTCACATTTCCTTGAGCTCATGTTTTCCTATGTTTGTGTTATAAATTGTAGCAACAGTTGAAAAAGTTAAATTTCAGTTGTTGAAATTTCTGAATTTCATTTTATGTTTCTGCAGCATCGTATACAAAAAACTGGTATGGATGTTGGAAGTTAAATTTTGTTTTGTTATCATTAATAAAAGAAAAATAGAGTGACAAATATGTTAAAAACCTAGCAAAATGTGTATTTTCATCAAGAGTATAAGAGCTCTAGTATCGTGACATAAAAACTCAAATGTTTCAGTGCCAATGCTGATCCATAATTCTAGCGCTAATTAAATGATCCGGAGATCTCCAAAGACCAGTAAAAGACTGAAGATGAGATTGAATGACAACTCTAATGATTGTATGGACTCATACACAAACTGTGAATGGCATGCCCTAAGATATAAACTTACAAATTCAGTTACTTCCTATATTTCCTATTGCCGCGTAGCTAACCAGCAATATGTTATTAGTGCTTTATTTGTTCTGCACTTAGTTACTATATTATAATTTCATTAATCATTTATTATATTTTATATACTGTATTAATTATATTCAAATATTTTATGTCATATTTTATGTAAACATTTTGTGTCCCTTGAGGTAAATCCAATCAGTTTTCCTACTCACTTAATTTCCTAATAACTAAATTTTCTGCTCTCACTATCTGGACTGTCTTGGGTCGACGGCCGCGACTGCAAGCCTTTTCAGATGGGGGGGAATAATCTGTAATGATATTTTTAAATCAATTGATTGAATTAAATTCTATTAATATTGCTTAATAATGTGTTGGCGATTCTCTACCTAAATTGCATCCCTGTTCCTAAATTTTGGCGAAATCCTTTCTTTAGTATAAAATATATTAACCTGTTGGCGCCCGCCAAATCGCCAAACTCATAAATCTGTCATATTACATAAAGTACTTACGAAGACTCCTGATGAGAAGATAGCGTCACCTCGTGATTTCAATTAATATCGCTGATTGGAGGAGCCGCGTGACGTACACATATGTATAAATTGGGCTTCTGCTCAAGGTACGAGGAGAACGCTTACGAGATGGATGCTAAAATAAACCTACCACTTTATATTCCAAAATTTGTCTCATTCCTGTTGCCCCGGCTGCACAAAACAAATAATGTATGAGAAATTACATTTCATGTATATTTCATTTCACTCATTTGTTTAATTACAAAATCCTTAAATTATGCTTTATTACCAGAAAATCTTATTTATATAATGTTATTTATTTATCTTATACCGTCCTTTTCTCAAATTGCAGTAAAGCTAATGTTAGTTATTTTGATGCAACAATCTGCTTATTTTTCAAACAAGTACACCAGAAATAGGCAAATAAATCCTTTAAAAATTAAGCTTGGATGATGTAAATATATATGCGAATACTTTAAGAATTTAGAATTAAATGGATATGTTACACTGAAGAATTGGGATGGTTGAATAATGCCTCGCAAGCCTCTTTATTGTCGCCTTGATTTATTTCTGCTTTATCCAATCAATTTTGTTGACAGAATTAATGGAACAGTATCTTTTGCTTGCCCAATTGAGCATGTCTATACAATGCTTCCTACATTTGGTCTTTCAGTTTTTCGTCACAATAAGTAACTGCCAAAAGTTTCATAATGGTTCAAAACAGAAAATTTTCTATAAAATTTCAACGTTTGAGAGAAATGTATTTGAGTACAGTTTGCAAATAATGCCTCTTTTTCTTATTGTAATCAGTTTCTGAAAAGAGTATTATAAATTTAATTTGCATATCACGTGGAAGAATTTATTTCAAAACACTGTCTGTTCTTTCAAGATTTTGAAATATTTCTTTTACAAATGCGGATCTTTTAAAAATCTGCATTTGTAGATGAAATACTTCAGTACAATGTAATTTATTAACACGGACAAAATGCTTCGAATGTAGTGTCGGTTATCACTCAGAAGGATTGCAGACTATATGATTACCTTGCACTCAACATAATGCAAAAATGTGGATCTGATTTGTGTAAATTCCTTATGCAAGAACGGTGCACGCTTCTGAGAAGCTAAACTCATAAAAAAAGATCTATATTTGGCAATAATCAGATTTGTGATTCAGTCTATATTACAATGAAAATTCCCAAATTATAATCAGAAACAAATTAATAACGCAAAATTGTCAGATATTCTCAAGATTGGAAATCAAAAATGAAATTATCAGAAATAGAACTGGGCTTGATATCACTAGTAAGAAATTGAGACAAATATAATGACTCAATCATTCCTTTTTTACGGACTAGCCATTTTAGGCTTTTGCCACTACTAAAGTCAGAAGCAGTGGTCATTTTATTATGAAGGCACCTAACAAATGGCCACAGTTAGCCCCTATGAAGGGACAGACAATTTTACATCCATCTTTCTCCGGGTTTTGAACACAGGCTCTTCAGTACGGTAGAAAGATTCATTAACCACTTTCCAGTCTGGAAGGCAAGAGTCATTCTAAAACAAAAATTATGTTATTACGAATTAAAGAGTGAGCACTGACATCTGAATAAAATCGTAATCAGCTGGCAATATCTGTATTATAACACTTAACTCTAATCAACAGTTTTAAAAGTTTCAGATCTATAAACCGAATGTATAAATAAGAAGAATGGTGTCTAAAGAAACGTCTGCTTCATCTTAACCTTTTTTGCGAGAACAAAAGCGGTGCAACTAATTAAAGCCGATACTTCAGAAAATAAATAGATGTTCCCCTTACCATGAAAAAAACCTAATCTACTAATATGAAGTATAATAAAAGAGAATTAAGAGTAATTTAAAAAGTGTAATGCATAAAATATAAAAAATAGTAATACTATATAGTAATAACATCTTAAGGGAGGTGAAAAGTAATGTTTGTTATGAGGATGAGAATAGGAAGTTTACTAAGATTATAATAATTAATCACCATTATATTTTACCTAAATACACTATACTTTTTTAATTTTATATCGTATAAATATTTAGCTGATTTTTGATTTTTTTATACTTTGTCAGAGAACTTTATGAATTTTTCAACTTTCTTTGCCATCTTCCAGGTATCGTTCGATCCGCGAAGATTTTCATGACGCATCTCAATCTGTTGTGTTTAAAAGCTTTTATGTAATGGCTGACAGTAGTCTTCAATTCGTCAATCGTCCTCAAACGATATGCAAAGTTTCTCTCCTTCCAGTAATTCAGACGGAAGTAAATCGGTCCGTTTTGTCAAACTTTCAAGGCTCAATTACCAATTCAGGTCGTCAAAGTTGGAAATCAGACGATATCTTAATATCTGTCGACGTACAGTCATTTTTGTGCTTGCTTTTGCACCGCTATAGTGAAACCAAATGGAATCCATCAAATGTTTTGCCCCCCAATTCTGTCAATCTTCTTTATTCTCGGGTCCATAAGTCCATAATAACTAATCCCTTGACTTTTAGCACTCTATAGATCTAAATATTCCACACATGCATACATGTACCCTAACAAAGTTGTCGAACACAAACTGGTCCATACGGCATGTTGCACTCTACACATTGATTTCAATTTCCAACAGTTAAAATATGTATATAAATTTCTTTCTCTGTAAGATAAAATAAAGTTCACTTCTCTTTGTTGCTGCTTATCATTGTGAAAAACAAACTATGGCATAATGTACTAAAGTATAGTTATAATCATATTTGTAATGAATTGTGGGATAGTGACAATTATTAGTGTCATGATCATTAGCGTCATTATTATTATTGTTGTTGTTGCATCCAAAAGCAGTATAAAAATCTGATTCATTTTCGTAACATGCTGTTTATTGACATGATGTCAATATAAAATGTACCAATAATCAAAAAATAATATTATACCTTTTTTTCAGATTTATTTTCATATTTTAAAACTGCAGCGAGAGATCTATTGGGAATTAGGAAACATTACCTGCGCTGCTTATCCTTTGGACGACATCGATACTATTGACAGCACAACTGGAGATATCAACAAATTGTCTGTTCTGAATCTTGTTGTGTATGGGGTGAGAATTTTTGTATCATAAATAGGAAACGAGTATTTTGGAGTGTTAAGATTTACTTCTCTGAAAATTATAGAGGTGTGTAGGGAAATTAATATTAATTAACCACTTATAATGATTTTAGTGTATACTATAGGTGTCCGCCGATAACATCGCGGCAAAAACATCGCGGACAAAAACGTCGCGGAGAAAACGACGCAAGGTAAAAACGTCGTGCTACAAAACATCGCAAAGAGAAAACATCGCAGTTCTAAAACATCGTGGTACAAAACATCGACGTCGAAAATAAAGCGGTTCAAAAACTTCGCAGTTTAAAAACATCGTCGTCGAAAATATCGTGGTAAAAAATAAAGTTTTTGTTCGTTTTATTTTTCTTAATTACTACTTAATTCTCATTCATTCAAGTATTCAAACATGAATTTAACTTTACCCTGGCTCTCCACCATGTGTGGTGTCAAACGGGAATATTCGTGTTTTAGTATTGCAACACTTCCCCTAACCACAATGATTTATTAGAATTCAATCGACCGAAATATGACACACCTTACTTGGAACATTCTAAAACTCGAATGAGCTATGTTTAACATTCTTAAAATTCAAGTGTAGGGTGGAGAAACCCTACAAAACCACATTCATTCTAACTTCCCCCCTCATTCATCTTTAGACATGCAGGCTTTCGCTCTAAAGCATGATTTTATCTACTGTTTAATACTTTAAGTTTTAATTCATTTCTTTCGAGTATTTACTTTTTAGCATCTAAAATTTTATGCTTCTAGACTAAATTCTACTTTTACATAACTTTCAAGTATTTACGTATATTTACAAACTTCTAATACATATGATTTTTACAATTTACCATAAAATGAATAAGAGAAAAATAAATTTTTACTTCACGCATTCTTCGCCAAGCTGGCGGCACTGAAACTAAAGTTCACATTAATACAAGAATACGAAGTTATTTTACTTTCGGCAAATTTTGGCTTTAACATAACAGAATTAGTCTTTCGAGCAACAGGAACTGCTTGTTCTTAGATTTTATACTTAAAGAAAATAATACTTTTTGCCTTAGCTAAATAAAGTAAAACAAAACTAAGTCTCAACCGAGACAAATTGACTTCCGTCAAAACATAGAACTTCGTATTTACGCATAACATTTCGGAACAAAAGAAAAATTTATAGATAAATAAAATAAGAAACTAAAAATGAATAATAACAAGTGACTACCTACGAGTAACTAACCTAACCGCGTTCTAAGATACCGCTGATAATTCAGCAAACTTCTGAATATTACGTTGAAAGATTTAACTATCGCCGAGGCAAGCACACAGGCCGAAACGCGTGGTTCTTCAATTTCTACCTAGCCACCTCCACGCTCGTGAAGCAAGAAAGCACATTTTCGAACTCGTTTCCCTTCTATTTAACTCAGAATACTTCCGCTGACTATTTCTAATACTTTGCGCGTTCTACTAAAATTTACATACTCTGGCATTGGCAATTCCAGGGGAAAGTAAGGCTTGACAGGAAAGATAGTTTAAACTTAAAATAAATGTTAGTTAAAATAAATATAAACCCTACAAGCTAAACCCTTTGTAACTTCAACCATAGAATTTTTTTATTTTGAAATAACAAAATCTAGCATTTTCTGTAGGAAGGCAAAATATATATTTGCGCAAGGTTCCGGTTATGAAAGTTCCTAATATACGCTGAGTCAAGTAATGATGTAATTTGTTTAGCCTGGCTGGAAGTATCTTTCTTAAAAAAAGCAGCAATCAACAAAAGTGACTGTAAGAAATTTATCGAAACAGTTTATCTACCCTGGGTGCAGTTTATTTACCCTTGGTATTTTGTGTGTATTCCGAACAGCCATAGTTGTCACTGATTGTAGTATCATAAGATGCGCTGAGCTGAGACCTGACACAGCATTTGTTATCTACCGTTATTCTTACGTAAGCTTGAATAGTGTTTCGCTTAATGGCGTAAAATGGCGTGTAAATATAAAACTAAGTTCGAAATCAAAGTGATTGTTTAATAAATAGTTCGTACATACTTCCTGTCGTGGATGAATTGCTTCCGTTCTTTAATATTTAATTCTTCGGATCTAAAACAGTGAAAAAGGATTTTTCTTCATTTAATTTATTTGTATCTGTTATTAGATATAAGTTCAGAAACTTTCAAACCCATCTCCTGTTTCTTATTAAAATCGTCTTGGTGATGGCCTGAACAAAACATATCTGTTATTAAACTATTCTAGAAATTTTTCAGAAGCGGAATCTCATCGTTTGTTATCGTCTGACCACATACTTAAAGGACCTGTCAACTTTTTTTGCAATAAAATGTTATTGGCCGTAAATGATTTAGGAACAAGATTTTCTTAAATTATCTTATCAGATATGCTCATAATATCGCACAATTTAACACTCAATTTTAGATTTATAATAGCTTTTACATGAATATTTTAATTTTAAAGATTAAATAATTGTTTCTTGTTGCACTGCTTTTCCGTGTGTTAAGTTTTAATGTTTATTTTAATAAACATGTTTTGTGCATGTTAAAATCTGTCCGATATTTTTAATATTTCGTCTGTTTCTATCAATGCGACCCAAAGTCCTTCTCAAAAATCCCCAAATATTCCTCATCACGTAAAGTCAATGTCCAAGCTTTCGATGCATAAGTCAGAACAGATCTTATAAAACTCTTATAAAAGAGTAATTTAGTTGTTAGCTTGAGAACGCTGGATTTTAAATAGCTCTTCTGGCTGTGAAAACATCTATTTACAGCAGAGTTTCAGATGTTATCGGGCTTTTTACAGTTCATCTCCGCTTTCAGATAAATGAAACTGTGGACCTTTTCAAATCTATAGCTACTAACTTCTAAATGACTAAGTGGTTAGCATGATTTTAAACAAGGCATATATTTAGTTTTACTTTCATTAACAGATAGGATAAATCGTTTTGCATTTTTTTTCCAATGCCATAAATGGCTGTTTAAGAGTAGGAACAGTATTCCAAACAACACGAATGTCATCTGCATGAGCGAGTAATTGAATAGTCTTTTTTAAATTATTTCCTTTAGTACTGAGACTAGAATCTCTAATAATGTTTTCGAGTGCAATTTAAACGAGTGGCATGTCAATGCAATCCCCCGTCTCACACCATTCTCGATTTCAAGCTATTCTGTAAGGTCACCTTTTAAATGAATTTGTATCTTTGTTTCCCTGCATGTTCAGGTCTGCGAATTTATGCTTTGTAAATGCCACAGAAAACAAATCCAAAGAATTTTTTAATTAAATAACTTCTGCCAACATAATGTATAAAAATAGAGTGTTGCTAATAATATCGCCTTTTGTCAATAGTGGTTATATAGACTTTTATATCTGTTAGTTGGTAAAATGTTATGAATATGAGCAGCATTATTAGAAATAGTTACTTGTCTATAGACTGTAACTATTCTAATAAGACTTGTCTATAGAATCATTACTGATTTCTTGCACAGAAGATACTACGCAAAATCACGCTGGAATGTTAAAAATTATTAACCCAAGAATAGTATCTTAGTAGGATATCGTTATAAGTTTTAAACAAAATATTTTAACATAGTATATAGCACAGATGGCCAGATTCTGTACTTTAGAGGACCAGTTTAAGTTGTACCTTGGAGCACATGAAGCCAGATATTTTCTGGATAATAAATATTTTATAACTTTTAAATCGTCTTCCTTGTCGGCGAAGAAAAGCAAAGAAAAGTAATTTCAAATAATCTCTGCAAAGAGAGCAACACCGATTTAATCAGTTGTGAAAGTTAATAAGATTATTCTCTCAAAAAAGAGGTTTTCAAGTCGGAGGTAGTAAACGTCTCAGTGTTATTGGTATTATGAAAACCCTGGAAACAGTTTCAATCTGATTAAAAGAGGGAAAATACTCAAACATCCGTAAATCCCCATAAATAATGACAAATACTTTTAGCCAAACATTTAGCGGCAGAAAACTAATTTTCTGTCACATACAGCCCATAGGTCACCATTTGGCCATCATTACTGTTCGGTATAACAGTAAACCTAGCCACCATTAGCAAGGAAAATTACATTTATCAGTTTCATTTATTCTCATATGTATAAAGAAAAAAAAAACAAATTTTATACCCTGAGACTTAGCTTGAGATATTAAAAGAAATAAAGTACAAAATATCAATAATAAAAATTCAATCAAGGGAATAATACGAAAATTAGTTTATCCAAATAGTATCATTTTACCCATGTATTAGACGGAAAACTGTCTTCTGTTTTTTTATATTCTTTATCCATACATATATCTTTCAGTATAACAGTAAGGTAGCCATGTATATACATATTCCTACTCAAGCAAAAGTTTAAAACATAAAAATAGACATAAAAAGATTATGCACCCTGGGAAAATTTTTAATTGAATTTAAAATGGAAGCATAGAGAAACTGTCAAATATTAGAATGAGTTAAATGCAAATTGATGGGTAAAAATACACTGAATTTTTTTAGAAATACTTAAAACAATGAAAATGAAAATTAATTATTTATATTTCGAATCAAATCGTCAAGGGTAGTTTAAAGCATTAAAATCCGAGCAATTAAGGAGTATTGAACTCACGTTCTGCTTCGCTTGACTTTATTAGGTATTTCTCCCGTCTTTCTACCATGCCTTCTTGGCGTAGTGGTTTTGCACGCTGGGCCGGTATTCCAGAAATCCGCGGTTCGATTCCCGGCGAAGGCGTTTGCTAATTTTTCATCTTGCTTGCTCCTAAAAAATCCTAATGTCTCTAGCATATTCACAAAGCCTACAGACCGTTTCTTCTACTGTTAAAGCAGGAAACGTTGGGATACAGAATTTTGTGCTTGGCAACTTTTGCTTCATCGCCTTTACTATTTGTATATGAGCGTGCCGTACCGAAAGTGTGCGAAAGCCACTCTAGAAACCACAGCTCAGTGGTAACGAACACGGAAAAAATTTTCGGACTTTTTGATCGCCGGTTCTATCCCCATTCGTGACTTTTACAAACTCTGCCCTGCACGGATTTCTTTTTATCCTAGCTTTATTGAATGTCATTATTTGTCGTTTCGCCTTCGGGTGCGCTGTAAAAAATTTAGCACCTTTATTTTCTCTATTTTTGTTAATGCTAATTGTTCTTGTTTTTATTTACTGGTTTGTACTCTTTGTAGTAGATACCAGTAGCAAGATTACGATCCAAGATTCCGAAAAGCATTTCAATTGAAATAGCGCATGATGGAATAAAATATAATTTTAGTTATACTTACTTCCTAATTTAGGTGAAAAGAATAGGTATTCGTCGCCGTTAAATGTTTTTATTTTGTTTATTTTTTAAGATTCCTTTATTTATATAAATAAATGCGCTATGGAAATTTGCACAACAGACTCTTTCTAAAAATGACGAAAAAGTACATATGTTATTTCCATGCAAACACTTTTCCTTGCAAAACAATTACCGTACTTTTAATAGTATAAATTCAAATACAAATAAACTATTAATAAGATCAGTAGGTTATTTAAAATATATTCCGCACAATTCCCCTTAGCTTTCATTCAAAAAATAAAAGATTATAGAATGAAATAAACGCTGTTTCTTCTCGATTTACTGAAAGCTCACAAGGTTTGTTTGTCGTTAATTACCACGCCTACAGGGCGATAACTCGCCATTCTAAACATGACCTCCAAGCAGATGTTTCATCCAATGACAGCAGACCGTAGAAGAATGGTCTGTAGGCTTTGTGAATATGCATGTCTCTACAACTTTTTGAGCATTAACTAATGTAAAAATAAAATAAAAATAAGCACAAAACAAAGTTCTATGCAAAAATATTAACATCCTCCCTCAAAGAGTTAAGTAATTACCTCGGCATGAATTCAGTTCTCGAAAGCTAAAAACGAATCACAAAATAACAGAAAACAAATTAATAACATGAAAAATGCAAAATAGTAATCTGGATATAATATCACGTCGGTGTACGAAACGAAGATAACGAGCAATTTAACCGTAAATTTTAAACCTACGAAAATGCTTTTGGGTAACACATTTTGCTACTTTGGCTAATAGACCTAAAATACTATTATTTTAGTTGAAAAAAGTCGAAAAACGTGTTTAAACACTACTCTAAATCACACTCTAAAAACGTACAAAGGTTGGAAATATTCCCCGAAAATTAAAATAAAACAAAAGGAAAACATATTAGAATTTCTGAATAAAATATTAGTGCTAAAAAACCTTGAACCTTTTCCAAAAATGCCACGGTTACTTTAGCATTCAAACGGGGAGCGTGGTGGGAAGGTGCAGGGTTGAAATTTCAAGTGAAAATCATTCGAAGATACAAAAAGCACAAAGCAAAAACTCAGATCAAGGAATTTGATTTACAAGAGGTAAAAAAAATCAGATAATACATACAAATAAGGAATATTACCTTTATTTTGCTCTTTCTTAAGAGGACCGATGAAATTGATTCCAATAAATAGATTAGCTTTCCGCAGTGTATTTTATTCCGCAGCTATATCAAAGAAGGCAACAGTTTATTTAAGCAAATTCATGGCATATCTATGGGGATCAATTGTTCCAGCAGCATTTGTAATTTACATTTATTCACAAAAGAATTAGAATTTATGCTTAATAATGATGACTGCATTATAAGCAAACTAAAATTCACATCCAGGTACATTGGTGATGTTATTTTTTTTCCAATGGCAGATTGTAAATAGTTACAGAGTAACCCAGTCCATTAATCTATACAAAGCCAGATGTGGTGGTCTCTTTATTATAGAGGCACCTAATAGATGGGCCACCATCGCCTCCTATAAAGGAGACAGACAGTTACAACCATGAATTCTCCGGTATTCGAACCCAGGCCCTTCGGTAACACAGTCAGGCTTCCCTAACCACTATACCGTTTGGGCGGCATATTGATAATGTTATTAACCAGCAATAATGAAGGCTTATAATAAAGAAAGAACATCTGCCTTGTTCAATTAAACTGAACAAAGCCAAATTAAACCAACAACAAACAGATTTTCTTGATTTAAGCATACGTGACTGCCAAAGAATTAAATTAATTTGCAAAAGGAGACATTTAACTTCCATACTATTAAGCTTATTAATAGTCACTCCAACATTTCCAAAAAAATTTTTGCGAATGCCTTTAACAATCAAGCTCACAAATTAAAAACATCTGCACACATATTTCCGATTTTCAAAATGAAATACTAATTCTCATTCCCCAACTGAAAGAAAATGATGCTCCAAAACATTTTATCCATTTGCTGCTTGAAAAAGCTTGGCATTTATTACACCCTTTAAAATTGAAATTACAAATGAAGTGTTAATTTAAACCCTTCGAACGATTAATTGCATATGTGTAACTATTGTATAAATGTAACTATTTCTTGCGGTAGCTAAAATACTTTTATTAGCAAGACTCACTTGTCTTTTAAGTCTCGTTGATGCCAAAAGAGTGAAGTTTTTTAGCTTTGCCTCAGTTCTTTTCTTTTCTGTTTTCTTCTTCAAACTTTCTGCTACTAGTTTCAATAATTATAAATTTTGCTTAATAAATAACAAATTACTCGCCTTCTTTTTTAATATTTGATATATTAAGTCATTGCCTAGGATACATTATTGCCATTGATTACAAAATTTAAAAAAAAAGTTAAGCTTTCCTCCTTCGCGCCCCCCATGTTGCCAGTTTTAACTCGCCTTCTTCTTCCCCATGCACTCTACAATTCAAACGATATCTGGGGCGTAGCTTATGAGATAAAAAAAAATTATTTATTTATTTAAGAACATAAGTGCCATTTCATAACTTCAGAAACGTTGTTTTAGATTCCCTTTATTGGAACGTGATTAGTTTATAAGCTATTTCTCCCGCATTCTTGGCATGCCTTCATGGTATAGTGGTCAGCATACTCGGCGCGTATTCGAAAGGTCCGTGGTTCGAGTCCCGGCGAGAACGTTGCACATTTCTTCAAGTTCCTGATTAAAAACAAATTCTATATGACTCTACAGTGGCGATCGAACTAAAAAAGGTGGATGATGATTTTCCATCACAAGGATTTGGCAATTGAATCCTCTAATCCCCAGTCGCCCCTTAAAAGGGAGAGTATATAAAGTATTTCTCCCACCTTCTTGGCATGCCTTCGTGGTGTAGTGGTCAGAACGCTCGACGCGTATGCGAGAGGTCCGTGGTTCAAGCCCCGGCGAGGGCATTGCTCACTTTTCACATCTCCTGCTTCCAAAAAAATTCCTAATGACTCTACACCTGAATTGGCCAACTGAGTCTTATTCTCTTCTACCTAATCGCCTTTTTAAATGAGGGAGGATGTAAGGAATTACCGCCTTTCTAGCACATGTTCTGATGGTGTAACTGGTATAGGGTTAGCAAACAGAAGACCCGTATTTCGAGTTCCGGTGAGAGCACACCTGATTTTCCTCTTTCCTACTCAGTAAAGCCTGATATCTCTAAACACCCTAACAGTACGCACGGATAAAAGTAATAATTGCATATATTCTTCCCCAAGCGCCATTTAACCAAACGAGAATATAAAATTATTTTTTTTTTATTATTTCATTTTAATTCGAGTTCTTGTGTAGAGATCATTTTGTTTAATGGTGCGAGAAACGTAAATTATGCTCTCGGTAAAGACAATTATGCCCGGTTTTGAACCATAGATTTTCGAGGGGCTAGTTGGAGGTGTTAAGCATTTATAATAGATAGCACCGACTGGGTATGAAATAATTCTTTATAGTACATCTAATTTTTCTTTAATTTGAGTTTTTGATTCAAAAGAAAGAAAAATGGCCTAATTTTAAAGAGCCTGTCATCACCGCTGTAAATTTGGATGCAGTCACAAAGTGCATCATTACTTTGATTTGTTTCATTTCCCCACAGTGCGTTAGCGGATACAGGTATTCTGGTTTCCGCTGTCCGGTTAATCTAGAACAAAGCAAATTTTGGAAAGGCCCGATTTGGCGATTGGGTCCTCTAATCCCCAGTCGCCCTTTAAAAGAGGGAGTATATAAGGTATTTCTCCCGCCTTCTTAGCATTCTTAAGGGGTGTAGCGGTCAGCACGTATTCGAGAGGTCCGTGGCTCGAGTCCCGACGAGGATATTGCTATTTTGTCACGCCTCCCAGCATCAAAAATACCTGATGTCTCTACAGGTTGTATTAACATCGTGCATTCCCTTGAGGAAGAACGAAATTAAGGCAACAGTATTCCCTCTCAAGTTTTTAGCTTATTAGATTTCGTAGTAACTACTGCTGTTCTCCAGCTTCTATTTTTTTTTTATTTATTTTTATGCATTATCTGACTTTTCTTTCCCATTTCCAATTTAAGTTTCTTGATTTGAGTTTTTGCCATACGGTTTTTGTAACTTGGAAGGTTTAAAATTTTAAAGTATGTATACACAAATAACTACCCCTTAATTAATGCTGTATCTTCGCTTAATTATAATTTATTGGAATGACTAAATTAGCTCTTTAACTTAGTTATTATATTAACTTGAGTACTTTCCTCTTAAAATATTTGTATATTCTTAAGTTTGATTCAATTATTTTACAATTTCGACAGGAAAGACTTCATCATTTGGATATGCTTAGTGGACTGTTAGCGGATCTCCTCAATGCTAAATGGAATACATTCGTCAAATTTCGGTATCTCCTTTTCTTGCTCTTGATTATTCTTTTTATTCACTTTCAGGATTAAATATCATATTTCATCCTAATTTGCTATAATCTTTTTACCCTGAAAATTAAAATCTAGTAAATTAGAAATACTGGTAATTTTTCAAAATTCTAGCTCTATTTTTAGTGAATTTTCATGACAGATGCCAAAATAAGAATGACAGATTTCTAAAAAGGTTTTTTAATACTGTGATCGAAAGGTACAGAGAACGATTAATTTAAAATGCACGCATGCAAAAAATCGCTTGCATAGCTATTCAGATGTTACTGCGACTTTCGTTGACATCTGGCCACATTCTATATTTCATTTCTTTTTATCGTTTACAAATGCAGTGATATTTAATGAATAAAGAATGTTTGAGAATATAATTGACAAAAGAACATACATCAGCGCTGAAGAACTTCTATTGATATAGGAGTTTCAAGAGATCCAATGGCTTGTATTGCTGCTCTTGAAAATGATAGCGGGACAACATTCCCAAATGTGTCATGTAATGTCTATAATTGTTTCAGAGAAATTCTAAGAACCTCCACCTCGCCATCAAATGCATTTCGGTTTTTCCCAGCAAAGGCATATAAGGAAAAGAGGCTATACTAAACCCCCTGTACCTGCAGACATTAGATCATCACTACGAGACACGTACGTGATAGGGATATTTATTATTAATAGTTTCCGGGGCAAGGTATTTCAAGACCTCTATAGACGAATCAATCAGGTTAAGGTGCGTCTGTATTTGGAACATAGAAAGGAGGTTTGCTGACAGCAGAATTTCTTGTATTCAATCGACAGACCACATTCCTCCCTAATTTTACGAACGTTTTGTAAGGAGCACACTATGTCTTGAGATTTCTAGTTGTGTCCCGGTAATTTTCCCAGAAAGGATCCAATGCAAACAACTTTTCATATAAGGTAACAGCTACCTATTCAATAATAGTTCTTACGGGCAAATGTTTTGTTCACAGCAGTATAGGACCATAGGTAATACGAATGTCTTATAAGTAATATTTAGGGTTGTTCTAACACTTTTCTACAAGCAGCCAGCCAAGCGTTCCAATATAGTCAACCTTTGATAGCAGCGTTCTGTAAATGACTCTACATGTAGTCTCTAACTCAACCTGTTATTAAAGATAACGCCTAAGTATTTAAATTTATGAGGACTTGCAATCCAAGCATCTACAAATTTCGTCGTTCCTCTGTCACGAGCTTAGCATTGCGTTTTGGTGCTTGAGTCCAGATGACTAAGTCGTCTGCAAATAGCAAGCAATGGACACATGGAATGATTTTTAGGGCGGCAACTACATTATTAATACAGGTGTTAAATGGGGTGCTGCTGTTTACTGATGCCTGTGGAAGGCCGGTTTGTAAGTTATAATATTTAGAATAGCAGTTTCCATATTTAACTTTACAGATTCGTTGATCTGTAAAGAACCTTACCCATTTTAGAATCTTTCCGTTAATTCCCATATCAAGGAGTCTTTTTGTAAAGCTTTTCTCGTCATGCCGTATCATATGCTCCTTTAAAATCAATATACGCTGCTGTTGGGATATTCCGTTTACCTAGGGCATCTTTAATAATTTCTCTTAACATGATAACTTTGTCATTATCTGAACGATTTTTGCGAAATCCAGACTCTTCTGGCCAAAAATGATTGTAAGAGAGATCAGGCGATAGCTGGATGTTTGACAAGGACACTTACTAACCCCGTCTCCCAGATCCGATTAAAGGCGAATAAGATAGTTCTTTTCGCAATTTCGTTTAGATGCCTAGAGAATTCATGTTCTGTAAAACATCCGATATGACTTTTTTTTTTCATTTCTGGCGTCGGCATTCTGGGTACCCATCTGAAGCAGATCTTCGATATCACTGATTTTTTATAGTTCCTTTTCACTGACGACAGTTATCTGACGCATTATGATAACTCACTGAGTAACTTGCTTACTTGATAGTAACATAGCAGACGACATAACTTAGCAGACGACATAATGCGTCAGCTATCTGACGCATTATGATAACTCACTGAGTAACTTGCTTACTTGATAGTGGATCAATGAATCAGTTTCCTAGTTTTCTCAGTTTGTTAAGTAATTTTCCTTAGAAAATTCCCTTCCAAAGGTCTATCTGAAAGCAGATAACCCTTCTTTAGCGTGTTATAATGTCAATGAGATTTTCGAAACGATGTATTTTTCATAAAAATCTTTGATGTAGGTAGTGGATGTGTTGAATATTCTGCTTATTAAGATGAAAGTTATTAAATATCCCTTTTTCATTAAATGAGAATCTTAAAAGTTGCTATTTTCAGCACGCTGTTCGTACCATTCACTTCTATAAAATGGTATTGATCTCTAATTTGATGATGCTAAGTGGAAACTTTCGAATGTTGCAAAAGTAGGGATCCTACTCATTATTTTATTTAGAACATGATCGTTTTACTGTATATAACTTTCTTTCCCATAGTTCTGCATGTCTTCATTAAAACGTTATGCGAATAATTTTTATGAAAACCCTATACTTCGAAATATATAAGGTAATACGAAATTAGTAACCCGATTTTAAATGACTTCATTTTTCAAACGTACGAACTGGAAGGATTAAATAATACATGAAATGAAAGGAAAACTGCTCAAGTCTTACCCATTTAGGTTTCCACGTGACTCCCTTTTTATTATATGAATAACTAAAAAGCGGTAATCATATTTATATACTTACTCCAGCGTGTAGTTTGCTAATGTCTACGAAGTGACAGTACACAATTAGAGCGCTTCGTTATGATGCAACAATTATTCGCAGTCCTTTGTTAGAAAGCATTTTTTATTTTATATCAAGAAATGAAGAATTTTACTTTACTCGTAAAAGCGAAAGTACATCTGATGAGACACTTCTCTCGTAATTCCTTGAGAAAAGTTACCACAACTGAAAACCAATGTAAAATTCGTCCGATATGGTTAAAGTGCAAATGTTTCGCAAACCAAAAAGTTAGAAGAATTGAAAACTCCAGGTGCTTAAAATACTCTTTTATTCTACAGTATTTTCAGCCCCTTTTTTAATGGATGAAGACTGATGATATATGATAGGTCTAGCTAAGTTAGATGTTTTAGTTTTGGTGAAAGAATGAATGAATAAAACGCTGAACACGTTACGTCTTTCTCCACCGAATTACTTGACTTCATATCATTTTATTTTTTTTTATTATATGTAGCCTTCATTTATAGGAGAATTTTAAATTCGAACTGAAACTAATTTCTGTTCATAATTCGTCATAAATAAAGAGTTCAATGAGGACAAAAATGGTTCTTGAAGTTGTTGCTTATAGTGATTCCATGTCCAGTATGCATTTCTATTCTCTATTTTACTAAGACAAATTCTATAATAGCATACATAATATGAACTTCATTTTTCTCGTTTAGGTTTTATCGACAATTTGCCACTTTCTTCCTATATTTTGCTGTTTCTTTGAGTTGTTTTGTAATGAGACCTGGGCCTATTGGCACAAAGATGAACTCACATCTTATTCATCAATTTAATCATTCTCGCCATGTATATCTAGCAAATGTATCTATAATCCATCCGGAAAACGTTACTCTCAATCACTGTTACCTTCTCGAAAGAGAAACTACAGCCCAAAAGGTAAGCAATTTTCATTTTTCTTGCATATATTTACAAAACAACACGGGTTGGACTGACGAAGACATAAATTGTTTCGTAGTTTTTTTTTTTTTTTTTTTTTGTAATTTATTGAAGTTTTAAAATTTAAAAATTTGTGTCAGTATCAGTTTACAAACAAGCTTATTTCTCTCATTACACCATCCCCCTAAAGATGATATGCCGAAAGAAGTAAATTCTCTAAGTTTTTTGCACTGCACTTGCGATTTATATGCGTATATATTTTGCATTTTTTTTTTTTTTTTTTTTTTTTTTTTTGCATTTATGCAGTTGATTATATACAATGCTGGACATGTTTATTTTTTATATTTTAATACTTTTTTCATAGTGGTTTATTGTACTTTTGTCATCATCTTACTCCAAGTTGAATATGTAATGGGTTTAAATAATTATCCATTTATTTTTATCAAGATATATATATATATATATATATATATTCTCTAAATTCTCTAGATATATATATATCTCTCTATAAATTCTCTCTATATATATATATATATATATATATATATATATAATAAATTCTAACAGTGGAGGCAATTTTGCATTTAATATTTAAGTAAAAATTATTTTTAAATCTCATATAAAACTGTTGCTGTACATCTGTCAACAGCCTTTGTTTAAACGTGACAGTAAATAGAAAATTCAAAACAGAAAAAAAAATTATTTTAAATTTTACTAATTGGTGAACAAATTAAAAGTTTCTTGTAGTTGATCTATAATTTTCAGATGAAAGAGGCTGTTGACAGATATACACAAACAATTTTATTCAAGATACTTAAGTAAATTTTGCTTTAATATTAAATGCAAAATTTACTTATGCAAAATTACTTAAATTTTCATTTAATATTACTTTAATATTAAATGAAAATTGCCTGGACAGTTCTAATTTATTTTATTTACCTTATGCTAATCTAAGCAGAATTTGTGGTGAATTTTATTTTTGAAAGCCCTTATTACACCCATTTTCACAGGTAAATCAGAGCTCCCGTGATATCATAAAATTAAATTTAAACTTTTACGTAGATTCAGACATTAGTGAAATCAAAAATTAAAGATTAATGCGATTATTTTAGATCATTTATTAAGGAAACCTAGTAATAAAATATTAAAAAATACATTTCAGGAAGTTCATTTAATTTAAATTAATTTCAAAAACAAAAGATAAGTAAAATCAAAGTTGCTAATAAATTAAAAACAAATGCATGAAGTCAAAAATTAAAGAATGAGTATAAGGTTGATTCTTCTAAGAACTTTCTAAACGAAATGCATTAATCTTAAGAGCCATTGATATATATATAATATGTATATTTTATGTTCATAATATTATACGTTTTTAATGATACTTATACTCATTTTGGATGTGACGAAGGAGATGGTGAAGTTGGTGATATATTTTACTAGCAAAAGAGGCGGTCTTGAAATTTTTAACTCCCTTTTTATTTGCAGCATATTATAGCTTATTCAATCAATAATCACGCAGAAAGAATGCAGGAGGCGATATTGCTTATTTCAGTTTTTTCAGCTGACAGAGTCATTTACATTCACACATTTACGAGGCAAACTCAAATATTAAACGAAGGACGATTTTGCAATTGGATGGATTAAGAAATGCTTAAGTTATTTTATTTCTCAATAGAGGAACACTGTATTGTATTATCATTATTGCTTAATAAAAGTTTTGTTTTCAGTACTGTTGGATACATGGTTTTACACATTTGCATTATTTAAAAACGTATGGCATCAACGTTTTATGAAAATCGTATGATATCCCTTAATTCTGAAAGGACGTACATCAGAGAGATTAACCATAAATTTCTAAATATTTTTAGGAAAAATAATAACCTAATTAAAAAGGAGACTTAAAGCTATAAGACAGATTAAAATTTTATCTCCTCCATACTCAGAGATTTATAGATAAGGGCAAAATTCCTGCATTGCTGGTGGTGGTCATTTCAGTAGTTGAGAGTTTGTATACAGGCTACATTACAGTTTTAAAAGGGTTTTCTGAGTAGTTTAAATTATTTTGCTAGCATGCATAGCACTCGCTAGTATTAGGAATATTTTGCTATATAATACCTTGTTCCTAAATAACCATAAAACATGATTGCCGTCACAGGGGCATTAGGTGTTTCAATATGACTGGCAGTTTCGAAAACTAGGAACTGGGGACCGTTTAAAGGAAAGGGGACCATTTCATTATTCACGAGTCAATTTTTTTTAATTTTTTGTTAAGAATTGCCATATAAACTTATACCTCTTTTCAGCTCTTTCACGCTATTATTTACATATTTAACAGTTATTATTAAATTATTTATTATATATATGGTAATATATATACTTATAGCAGTTTAATTAAAAGGATTTCCTATAAAGACGAAATAAACATTAATTACTTTGATAGGATTTTTAAATGCTTTTTTCTTCCACTAAGCCTGTAAAGTTTGGATTTAAACCAGTTACAGGGAACATCAAACAGTTTTCAAATATGAATCTGTCAGTCTTGACCGCAGTTTGCTCTTAATAATTTTCTTGGATGAAATACGTTTTCGCATTCGTATGTTATTCCAAAACGAAAAATATAATTTTGATCAAATTTTCTCAATTTTGGAAAATGTTCACAAAATGTTTCTCAGTTCTGGAAAACTATTCCCACGAATTAATTACATCAGAAGTATCTAGAAAGGAAGGAAGCTCATTAAATTTTATTTCCAACAAAGTATTGGTTTTGATATAATAAATTCTGTTTACATGTTGTTTACATGTTCTGTTTACATGTTTACATTGTTAATCAATTTTTTTAATGTTTGCTTGATTTTTTAATGGGTGAAAAGCGATTCATAAGTAAAAAATGCAATATTCTTCTAGAAGATCGCTAAAGCAAGTGTTAAAATATCCTTGCAATAATCTGAGTTTCTCGGTATATTCTGCAAAGTTGAAATTATCTTCAACAGATTCACTTTATTCTTTTAAATGTGGAGGTTGACATAAATCTTCGCTTTCAATTGTGAAATAAACAGTTTGAATTTCATTTTGAATGCACTCATATCATTTATTATTGCTCTCTTGTTTCAAATTTTGATCATTGCGATGGTTGGTAATATCACTTAAAAATGCTAAATTAAACAGCTATTTTTCGTTACATAACAGTTCATTTTCCTCACATATCTCATCCTCCTGTTCCAGAAAATTACGAACACTATCTTACAGTATCTAAAAAACCTATAAAGAATTTCTCCTTTAGAAAGCCATCGCACCTAAAGTTAAGTATGAGATCCCCATACTCCGTATCTAAGAGTTCCCAATATTCTCTGAATTACGTTCTGTTTAACCCTTTTGCTCTAGTTTTATTCTCATATTTTATAATAAGGATCATTACATGCTTCAAATTCAGAATTTCTTCCCACAGACCTGCATCTATAATACAGTGATACTTCAGCAGAGAACGACATACATATTTTTCAAATAAAACCAAAAACCAGAAAATTTACCTATCATTGACGGTGTTCAGTAAGTACAAACACTTAGGAACTTACTAGAATCTAGCTGCTGGTTTTGTAGAAATGACTTTATCAAACATGTCTGACCTTCTGATTTTTCCATGCAGTGACTCAAGACCAAAAAGGTTTTAAAAAGTATTAAAACTACCATCAATTCCTTTTGTAAAAAATGCTTAATTGGGCTGGAAAAGATAAAACAAGTACCGTATTTGACGGCATATAAGACGCACTTTTTTTCCTAAATTTTCTCTCAAAAAAGTTACATGCGTCTTATACGTGAAGGTAATTGCATTCAATAATTGTTTATTTCGCTTTTACGAAACGTGAGAACTAAAAGAAACCATGCTATTGAAACTTTTTTTTTCTTTTTTACTTGTGTGTGGCCGTCTAAATAAGGGTGCGTCTTATATGCCGTCAAATACGGTATAAGTATGATCTTTGAATTGTTCAGTAACTTCATGTGAAAATTTTTCTATGCATCTTATAACTGTTTGCTTGGATGGAGCAATTTCGTTTATCTTCAACAATCTTATCACCAACACATTTTATAAATTTTTCAAAACTGGTCTTAACATTTTCTTCATCGGAGAAAAACTTATGTTTTATAGACAACACAGAGATAATTCGTAAGACATTTTCAGCTCTGCCAAACATTTAATATAATTCCGTTTGGAGATGTATTTTGTCTCTTTTTATTGCTTTTATTTTTTGCTTAACCACACATTCCTTCTGTAGCTCAGACCTAGAAAAACACTTCAATTTCTTTAATAAATGAGTTTAATGTTTTTATAGTATGTGTTAAAATCTTGCTTTCTATTATCTGAGAAAGGTCTTACACATGCAATGCATAACAGTTTGCCTAAAGGTCCTGTTCTAAATAAGAACTAATTTTCCTACAGTTCATTAAACTAGAGCTTCCTATCACCTTTTGTTTTCTTGTGTTTTCTTTTGAAAAGCAATTGGTAATTGTAAAAATTATTTCAAAAACTATTATTAAATAATTTATTTAAATTTATTAAATATATTGTTAAATAATTTATTTAAATTATATTAGGAAACATTAGGAACATTCTAAAGCAGTACTACATATTTAAGAGAAGGTTTCTGTTCTCATGGAAATCTAATACAGTCTTATAATTTTAAAAATCATTCAATGCACTATATATAGAGAGAGTTTTCGGCTAGACACAGAGAATTTTCGTTTTACTCTCGCAATATATTATGACTTGTGAAAGTGAGATCGTTTCGCACCATAAAACAGTCGATCAACCGGAAATCGCGCACTTAACCCATACATCATTCCGAAAGTTTTGCTGATGATGAGTTAAATCTTAATACCACTACCATATATAAATATAAAGGAATGAAATTATATTGAAAGAACATCAAAATACTCATATACAAATACCCTAAAAATTGTAGATTTCAACAATCAGCAAATTAAGAAAGAGGGCAGGAACTTGACAAACTCATTCTGAGATGAAAAGAAAAAACATTTTTTTTTTTTTAAATTTCAGAAATATATCAAGCGCTCATGAAAATAGAAATTTATCTTGAACTTAAATAGGTTTTGATAAAAGCATGTAAGTTCCGAAATACGGAATTGGTCACGTGCATCGAATCAGGAATACATTGAACGTTATGGCGCAAGATTTAGCTGTAAGCCGTTATGGAGTTACTCGCGATTCATGTCAGCTTTTCGCGATCCCTTTTACTTCAAGATCAAACAAGTACAATAAACGCGCACCCTAGAATTCAGGAATAGGTTAATTGTGCAAACCTGATTCGTATAAAGATATTAATAACGTTCTGTTTCAAATTTCAACTAAGGAAATTTCGAATGTTGAAAACTATGTGAAGAATAACATGCGATTTCCAAGTTGGTGTACCGAATGAATTTCATTTTTATTTTGGTTATTATATGTTTACATGAAGATATTTATATGGTTATGTTCACATAACAAGCAAACACATTTTCCATCTTGCTTTCCGCAAACAGAGATGAGATTCCTAAGATATCCATAAAAATTTTAGAACTTCAGCATCAAACAACCATGAAACAGTATTTTGACAATACTGTTTCATATAACCCGTAATGTTTCATATAATCCGTGAACCAATTTAAAGTTACTTTAATGTTGCACCCGATTTAAATGTTTCAAAGTTGCATGAATAACTAACGAGTCTATTTCAAAGACTTTCACAAAGTTGCAGCAAATGATTACCAAGGGTTGCCAAATGCAAGCAACGTCAGACTCGCACTTTCTTTTTAAACCATCGTACTCCCAAGTACGATTATGATCAGCTGTGAAAAATTTCATTATTTGCTTATAACCGCTACTTGTGTTATATACAAGAGCAAAAGTTGTACGGAAAATCTACACTTCTTAAAATTTTGCATTGCCAATCACCAACTTTATCTTGTTTAAATGATTATTCTTCCGATGAGATAGATGTATGTGGGTATAAAAGCACATTTGGACAACAGAACGAAATAGCTTTCTCTATTGTGAAGACTCCTATTTTCCACTTATTGGTAATTTATGGATCTGTAGAATTTCAAGAACATACGACTGATAGCACTTATAGCAACCTGCATATGCCTCGGTAGGTGGTCTACCATGTTTGTGCAGAGACATTGTAAAACTACCCTAAACTCTTATCTACTTATCTTGGTAATAAGCAAATAATGCATCAACAAAAATTTTAGTAAAGAGAATAATGCAAGAGAATAATGCAGACTGTTCATTGTGCTGTAACAGACGTATTGATTCAGATTACGGAATTGAGTGCTTACGTCAATAAATTTTAAATCATCCTGTACTTCCCATCTGCTTGGAATTTATTTTATGTATGAATATGACTAGAAATGTTTCGAGCAGCATGTTTCTGATCAAGCAAATGTTCCTGCTATTATGCGACGCGTAAATATGTCTCATTCTAAATGAATCGGGTTTCCCTTATTATTGGAAACCTTTTTATAAGGAGAGAAGATCTTAATTGCTTAGAGACAAACAACTATATACAAATGAATCGTGTTGAAAGAAACGTGAAAATGATAAGTCCGGTTAAAACGTTTAAAACATTCTGACATTTCTACCACTTTTTGATCAGGAATGATCTGTAGAATCATTAGGTTATATCGGTGCAGTGCAGGAATGTGAAATATATACAACGCCCTCGCCGGGATTCGAATTTCGAACCTCCCGAATACGCGGTGAGCATGCTTCCAGTCATAACATGAAGGCTTGCGAAAAGGAGAGAGAAAATACTTTATAAATCTTTTAAATAGATCACACTGAAAATAACTTTTGGATATGTTCTTTACTGCTTCGGTTCAAAAATAATCTTATTAAATTTAAAAAACAAACCTTTCAAAAGAAGGCTGTAGATTTTATATATTTTTATCTACATATGCATATACATCAAAATCTTAAGATCAATGTCCTATATAAGGCTGTGCAAAGCTGAGAACGATATGACAACCCAGTTTCATGAGTATCAATAAACCAGTAACAAATAAACAATTTATTAATTAAGAAACAGTAAAATTAACCTGATTTCAAAGAAACACCATTTTGTATACTTATTTTTAAAACATAACCTTTTTAACATACCATTTTTAACTTAAAGACCAGATTACGAGATAAAAGATAATGTGATTTTATATGGCAGCATTTTTTTTTAAATTTAAAAACAACTTAAATGGGCAAAAATGGTAATATGTACTCAGCAGACAAAATTAAAACGTGATTTTAGTATTGAAACCATTGAAAGACGTCAATATATTGCTCTCAAATGAATTGATACAAGTTGAAGTAACAGAATGAAATGAAGACCAAAATCACAGTAAAACTGATCATGAAATAAAATTATATTTTCAAGGTTCGTTGGACAATGGAGACACTTACAGCATTAGGTGGACTTCTGTATCTTCTCGATGCAATAAGAGAAGCCCAGTTTCTTGGTTATCAGACATTTACCCAAAACATGGTGAGTATAAAATTTATTTTTCAATTTCCGATATAAAATTTATTTTTCAATTTCCGATATAAAATTTATTTTTAATTTGATTTAATTTGAATAATTATCATTAATATGTGATTTAATTTGAATAATTATCATTAATATGTGATTTAATTTGGAATTAATAAATTCTAGTAAAAATAAATACATTTAACTATACAGATATGTAGTAACTGTTAACTGAAGTGAAAGTGGCTAATGTGAAAGATTTTTGGAGTTTAAAATATTTCATCACTTTTTTCCCTTACACTTAATTTTATTCATATGATTTGTACAAAACGATAAACAAAATTAAGTTATCTTGGATTCCACTTACCTACTTAAAAAGGTTAAGTTTTATTTATAGCAATTGTACAGTCATTAGGTTATTTTGAAAGATGAGAGCTGAAAATTATGCAGTGCCTTCTTGTTGGAACTCTAACCTGGACCTCTCGAATATACACTCAGTATACTACCGTTACACCACGAAAATATGATAGAAAGAGGTAGAAAATACCTTATACAGTCATTAAGTCTTTTTTCACAATTTATTTCCTCATCACCCCTTTTGTCTCGGGGCTCGCTAAAATTAATTTTGCCAAATTTCACGAGGTTATACTTGAAGAATTAATAATATGCAAAAAATATTAATAATTCTTAAAACATGTCTAAGATAAAAAAACTAATAATCTCTGCTTAAATTTTATTTCATTTTTTGTTAGGCTAGAACAAATGAGTCATATAAGAACGAAGTATGTTTCAATTATTTCATACACTCATTTCCAAAGGCAATTATATCAAAAGATATGTTATTTAATTTGAATTATTCTAATCACATATCAGAAACGTATAACGCACTTGATAAGTTATGTGATAGGTAACTATTACCTGAATAAAATATACGATGCATAACATTTACAATGCAATTAAAAATTTATGCACAAATCATTTGCACGCATACTTCCCTAAAAGGTATAAATAGGTTAATATCGAGCTAAATTTTAAGAAACTGAAGCCGTAGAAATAAATAAAAATGAAAAATGACTCTAAAAGTCCTAGTAAATGACTCGAAAGTATTAAACGTTTTCGGAGACTTTCAGTTGCCCCATCAAATAGCAAAGAAACTGAAGGCAAGAAATCGAATCGAAAAACTGAAGGCTTGGAATAATTAAAACGTTATTTTCCTGGCAAAGACATTCGACAATAATCTGCCTCAACGTCATAAATCCTATGTAAAGGATCTTCTTAATGAGGATTCCTCATATTTCAGACAGTAAAGAGAAAGTTCATGTAACTTTAAAACAACCAACTCAATTTCTTAGGAATGTAATCTCAGGAGAAGTTATAAAATTCACTGAAATTATTCGCTTGACAAATGCTGGAATACATAAATGATATTGAATATTACTAATTTAGAACATTTAAAATGAATATCAATTTGAAAGAAATAAATTACCTCAGTGTCTATTCTATCTCCGAGTAAAGTGTTATTTTACAGTACCTTACTTCTTATTTAATTAATATAATGTTGTATAATCCTGCTTTCAAATTAAAATGCTTCAGAATTCTTTTTCTTTAATTCAGACTTCTGGAAAAAAAAATATTATACTTACTATATTCCTGTACTCGGAGCAAAGCTAGCATGAAAACAATAGGAAGGTATAAGTGCTTGTGCATCCTTCAAGTGTATTCAATAAATATATTTCACAATAAAGCCAACTTATCAGTGGCAAAAACGTTTTAGAAAATAAAAGGTCATTTGAAGTCGTTCATTGAAGAAAGCAAAGACTTAATACATCATTAACTTGTTTAGTTTCATGCAATTTATTTATTAACTCGATTTTGATTTCAGAACAGAAATTGTCAATGAATTTATTTTGCTTAAGCGAAGATATCTGGCGATAAATCCCAACACTACAAAACACTTATTTTCTGTTTTTCAGCAGACATTTGAATTCTAATCTTAGAAACCTTAACTGGCAAACACCAGCTGCAATAACTGTCTGTCTAACCCTTTCCGGCACGCTACCTTTTAAATTTGGAGTTTTGGTAAGAAAAAAAAAAAGTAGGCAGTCTAATTAGGTCTAGAGGAGTATACAGGTAAAATTTTGTGAAGATAGCACTCATCGTTGAATTCTGTGGGTGTGCCCAAAGTGGGCCCACTGATTGACTAGAGCTTCGAAAAGAGTAAAGAGTGCTGAAACGAGCACTGTTGTCAATGAACTGACCGATTAGATGCGGAGAAACAAAGAATACAGACTCTCAGTTGTCCTAGATTATCGGTGAGCCCCGTCTGGGCACACCTAGGGTTCGCCCTTTGATTTTAAGCAAGATTTCAAGATAAAAATGTAAAACTAATATAGAATAAGGAGATTAGCATACAGCCAAAAAATAACATAGAAATTTCTTTTTCAAACAATCCTTTTATACCGTAAAAAAATCTGGGAGATTTCTTTGAAAAATGAGGGTCTTAAAAAACTAAGCATTGCTAAAATATATGGACTGGTTTGTGTTGAGCTGTCATCTGCTATAAATAAAGAAAGTTCAGAGTAACCTATAGTAACCTATAAATCCTTTTTTCATTCAATTTTTCTGGGCGTACAGAAGGAAATTTTTAGGTGTGTCCAGACCGGGCACACTGTGCCGCAAAAGGTTAATCCCTTCAAAACTTAAATAAGATACAAAAATCTGAGAACTGGTATTTCGGGAGTTTAGGTACATCTGTCTTCCAGCCACTTTCACATAAATGAGGTAAAAATGATCGTGATGCCCTACAGAATAAGTTTTGCACTGAATTGAATTAAACAGTAATAAATATCCAAATCTGATACAGTTATTTATCAATGAAACAGAAACACCTCTGATGCATCCAGAGTATGACATTTTAATAAAATGTAGGCCCTCTTTTGGAGGTCAATACTGTGAAAGGTTTTCTTAGAAATGACAACTAGAAGTATTGTTCTAAAGATGTAGTTAGCCATTCATTCGCATAATAGAAACTATTTTATTTCACAAACGTAAAGGCGAAAAAGTTCTTATAAACTTTGTCTATCATTTACTCCTAATTTCACTATCTTTGAGATTAGTGGATTACTCATAATATAGAAAATGTTCAAGATCATTTTCATATTCTTCAAACAACTACATTATTAGCTTTGCGGTATGAGTTCCTTCGGAAAACAAAATATTATAATTGGGTGGATTTGTTCTATCAACAGCACTTTACACAAGCTCGCAGTCCGTTGTTTTACAGAAAATGGGTGAATTAAAGAGAATAGTAAACTCATTTCATCATTTGAGTAATCGTTGTTTTATGATTTTTAAGAGGGTGCTTGTTTCTTTTTTTAACACGCTGACATGCTTTTCAGATAATAAATATAACATAAACTTCAAAAGAGGCAAAGAGCTGCTCTAAAATACAATGAACAAAGCAGGCTTTCAAGGATGCCTTTTTGTCTGATTAGCTATGGCAAAGCATACAACTGCTGTGTATGCTTTCAAGTGTAATAACCGAGAGGCAGTTTAAAAGCACTACTCCTAAACTGAGAAAGGTGTCCCAAAAATTATCCTACACTTTTAAGATCAATTTAAGTTTTCTTTTTATTTACCATTTTTATGGTCTAAATCTTTAAGAAACGGTATGGATTTAAAAAATACAAACAGTCTTCTATAACTTAACTCTAGTGTTGTGAATTGCTTTATAAGTTTAGGTTCGAAAACTTCCAAAGCTCGGTTTTACTACCAGTTCTCTTTCAGCCTAAGAAACTAAACTGCACATCCCATAAAAGTGATTGTAAAGTTTAATTTATTTTATGATTCAGCAGTGAAAATAATTTAAAATGTGTAACAAAGAACCTCTATAATTTTAAAATTTTAAAATTCTTTCGATGAAACAGAGGATTTGTTTTGCAAGTTGTTTCATAGAAGTTGTAATCACCTTTGCTTAGACTGAAAGTCGCAGACATATTATCCTGCGATCAAGATGATTAATAACTTTATTTGAGTTTAGATTTTAAATCTGCACTTAATTTATAATCATCAGTGAAAATTTTTTATGTTGATCTTGTGAAGTTGTAGGGTTTATATTTATTTTAACTAACATTTATTTTAAGTTTAAACTATCTTTCCTGTCAAGCCTTACTTTCCCCTGGAATTGCCAATGCCAGAGTATGTAAATTTTAGTAGAACGCGCAAAGTGTTCGAAATAGTCAGCGGAAGTATTCTGAGTTAAATAGAAGGGAAACGAGTTCGAAAATGTGCTTTCTTGCTTCACGAGCGTGGAGGTGGCTAGGTAGAAATTGAAGAACCACGCGTTTCAGCCTGTGTGCTTGCCTCGGCGATAGTTAAATCTTTCACGTAATATTCAGAAGTTTGCTGAATTATCAGCGGTATCTTAGAACGCGGTTAGGTTAGTTACTCGTAGGTAGTCACTTGTTATTATTCATTTTAAATTTCTTATTTTTATTTTACCGCCGGGTCGGCGTAATTTGTGAGCGTCAGGAGCACGCAGCTGTAATTTCTAAAGTTAAATAAAAAGGGATTTAAACCCTTCTCAAGACTTTGTTTACTTTACAGTTCATAGCAGTCACCACTATTGTTGCGTGCAGGTAGGGGCCGCGCAACATTACATTGGCGCCCGAACACTTGTTGAAATGAAATGGCCGAAAACTGGATGGAAGCTGCTCAACAACAACAAGAAATGGCAAGCCAATTGGAAGGATTTGGATACCTGGTCCAGACGATGATTTGGATACCTGGTCAATCAAGCCAAACGTCAATTTCGACGGAAAAAATTCGGTGGCGATATTTCTAGAAGGCCTCGAAAAGAAGAAGAAGCCACCAGCTCTAACCTGTGCCTGAAAGACAAAAAGTTGCCATCGCCACATCTGCACTAAGAGGACAGGCCTCGCTATGGTGGAAGAATATAGGCAAATTTTTATTAGGGGAATTCGGAAGCCAGACATATACATTTGAAAATTTCAAAAAAT